GCTAATGTATTGGGTCGCACAGTTCCTTTCCCATCTCAAGGCCCAATCACAGGCTTGAGTCCCTTCTCCCTAGTGAGGCTAATTCAGAAGGATAATTATGTGTCTGTGTCTTTCCAGGAGCCTACTCATCACAGTTTTCTTTCTCTCTCCACAATAGTTCTTATCTACAAACCCAAATGGAACCCAGAATTTAGAGGAAACAAGGCTTCAGCTCACCCAAGTGGTTCACACAAGCGGCCACTGAACTGCCATAGGGACAGTCCAAACAAGGCACTGTCTCCAACTGGAACCAGCAAACTTCTTTGCTGTGCTTTTGAGCTTGTATTGGGCAACTTTCCCTCAACCACCTCTTGTGGAGGTCTCAGCCATTTCCCACAGGAGTTGGTCAAATCAAGGCTTTGATGGTTCAAATTCTGAGGTTGGGGATGTTGCTCATTTTGTAGAATGCTTGTTTAGCACACATGAAGCCCTGGGTTCAGTTCCCCCAGCACTACACAGAAATCAAGCATGGTGGCACATACTTCCCATCTCAACACTTGGGAGACAGAGGCAGGAGTGGAAGGCCATCCTCAACTACACATCTAGTTTGAGGTCAGCATGGGATGCAGAAGACCCGTTTCTAAAAACAAGCAAACAAAACCAAGCAAAGTTGATATTTTAACAACAGTTAGCACCTGGTGTCTAAATATGGAAACATGTTACGGCAGATGGCAGGAATATAATGTACTGTTAAAGACGTGTTATAATAAAAAAAAGTGTGGAGAGAGAAATAGGATGAACAAAGTCATTTTGCAGAAGTGACATTTGATGGAGACGAAGAACAAGTGTAAAGAGGGAAAGGAGGCTTTGGGAGAATTGTGAGCAGGAGGCAGTCAGTGTTCAAGGTGGTGGAAGCCGCAGCTGGCATCCTTAGAAAACCTGCCGCTGCACCTTAGTGGCCATGGCAACGCTGAGATGCTCAGGGCAAACAGGAAAACTCCGAGTTCCACAGACTGTCAGACCCTGAGTCAGGAAGACACAGACAGGGCAAGAAGCACCATGTGGGGAAAAGGGCCATCTGGGAGCAGGACAAGACTGTGAGATTGGACAGTGCTCAATGGAAAGTATGAAGTATCCACAGACATTTTAACTAGAAGGGAAAGTCCTGGGAGCCTAACACACTACAGCCAAAGTCCCTTTCTCTGTAAATAAAGTGATACTCAAGGGACAGTGACAATACTGAGAATAGAGGAAGATGGTAGGACTGACATGCCCGGGTATCACGTAGCAGCCAGAGGCTATGGAACGGTCCTCAGAAAATGACATCAGGAGCAGGTATTGTCAGGCATACACTCAGCTGAGTCTGCATCCAAAACATGGGTATTTAGAGAAAGCAAGTAGCCACAGTAATGCATTATTAACTGTAAAACAGAAATCCATGAGCTCATACTGGGAGGAATGAAGAAACAAACGGGTAAGGAGAGCTGCTAACGGGCAGAATTCTGGAAAATGTGGGACTAGAAACCAGTACTTAGCAACCAACACAGCAATATGAAGTGGACAATTGATATTAGCATAGCTTCTTTTTATGTCTATGTATCCTTTTATCTCCAGTTAGTTTCAAACATTTGTTCTCTCCTGTCTTATAAATAACATGGAGTTACTTTTCTGCCTTTATTAATATCTTTAACTGGAATACTTAAAACACATTATTATGTAATGTAACTTGTGAGTATACTTGTTTTAGTTTATTAAAAAATTTGTTTTGAGACAGGATGTCTTGGAAATTGCTATGTAGACCAAGTTGGCCTAGAACCCACAGAGATTAGCCTGCTTCCTGAGTGCTGGGAGTAAAGGTGTGCACCACTATGCCCAGCTACCCAAGCCTTAGACTCATCCTATTTGGCCACGATCCCATTTCTCTTCTGCTTGTCTTTTAGAACATGCTGGAGTATCTCTTATCACTCCATTATCCCACGCTGTGCTTCCCGGTTTCACAGTCCGCATGTTGTAAGTCCAGTTATCTCTACAGCAGTGTTTTGTCCTATTTCAGTAACACCAGGCCTAAATTTAGTAACACTTATTCTAAAAGCCTTGCTGCGGTAAATTCGCAGTATCACTTGCCGTAACAGACAATCACTCAAACATTAATAAGGTTACAGCAAGGGCTTTGGGTAAAATGCCCACATTCTGTTCCAGAGAACAGCACGGAGCTAGCTATATGTAACTATTTTATGTGAAACAAGAAGGCAAAAATTCAGTTCTGGCCTCAAATGTAGACCACATTCACATGAGGCTACTGCATCAGGCAGCACACATAGTACTATGGTAGAAAATTCCAGAACAGCACTGTTCCAGATCTCCTCTCTAAGTATCATTCCCCATCCTCGTGCTGAGCAATACATTAGTATCTCAGTCATATACCAAAGGAAGCCATTCTAGTCCAGGTATCAGCACACTCGAGTCTCTCTAGTCCTTCCGATTCTTCCAGGTAGTTGTGAGCCCCACATGTGGGTGATGGGAGGAACAAGTGTTTTAAAGGGCTGACCATCTCTCCAACCCCATCTACCTTTAAAATAAGCAGTACCGGTTCTGCTGGCAGCTCCTTCCTGAGGTTCTATAGCATCATCATCAATGCACACCAATTGCTTCACTCGACTGGACAGTAAGGAACAGAGTGGGATGTTCTGCAGACCTAATGTTCCATATGCAAGGACAAGTCAAAAATTCCTAATGCACCCGAGGTAGGATGGGAATCTTCTGTGTTCAGTGGTCAGGATGAGGTCTTCTGTGTTCAGTGGCCTCAATGGTATCATCTGGACACAGTGGCCAGGCCTTTCAGCATGTTACTACTTAAGCATACTTGCAAATTTTATCAAATAAAATTTTGTGTCAGCCAGTGTCACTCCTCGATGGTATGGACAGGTGCCCCATTGGAACAGCTGATTCAGTTATTTGACCACAAGCTCTCACTTATCTTCACTGCAGATACACTTCTATCCTTTCTAACTGGCAGCTGGAATTGGGAACAAGCTTGTGAGAGCCTTAAGTACAACAGCCTAGACTATTTGGACTACAAAGTGTTTTCCATGATTTTATGTGCAGGATTTTTATAAGAGACACAACCAGACTTGGGTAGTTATCTGTGTAACACTGAGTTTGGAAACAGGACTGAATAGTGTTCCCCAACTGGGAATGTGAAGGGATTGTGAAGCTATGGAAATGGTTATCTCATGCAAAATAGATTGTTCTAAAGCTTTCCTCCACAACCTAAAAGATCAGCAGATTCAGCTCTATAGTTTCTGTGTGTGTGTGTGCATATATAAAAGACGAAGGGAAGAAGGAAGGAGGGAGAGGGTCTTTGTAGCCCTGGCTGTCCTAAAACTTGTAGACCAGGCTGGCCTTGACCTTACAGAAACCCATGCCACTGCCCTCAAGCAATAGGTTTAAAGGCATGCACCATGACACCTAACATAAATAAGTAATTTTACATATTCTCAGCACTAGTGGACAAATAAAAAGCCGTAATTTTTGTCATGTTTTACAATTCTGGTAGCTTTAGTTCTAGGACTTGGAAAGTCTTTTTGTAAATCTTGATCCCAGAAAACAATGTTACCCACTGCAACCAGGAAATGGCTTCCTGCTAGTGCTCATCCTGAAGTCACAACTTTCTGTTTTGGGGGGGGGGGGGTTGTTTGTTTTTAACAGCATTTAGAAAGTGAAAAAGACAGCAAGAAATTTGCTTACTTTCTCCTTATTCTTCTGATGATCTTTTTTTGGAAACATTTTCAAAGCTACTTGAAAATGAGATTATTTCCTGTGCTAGGTAGATACCCTACATAACAAGTGTCTCTTGAAACTGATGTAAAAGAAACTCAAAAGAAATAGAATTGATGTTATGAAGGATTAACCAATACATCTGCTCAGCACATAATTCACACGAAGTAGAATTTAGCTAAGGGAGCTAAATTTCCCAAAGATACCCCAAAGATAAGTAGTATGCTAGTCAGCCTGTTAAAGACAAGCAAAATTTAGGGTACATGTTTGTTCATCAGGATAGACCAGTCGTTAAGCCCTTCCCCAAAGATCATGCTTCTAACAGGCAGTTCAGGGAGGCAGTGTGGGGTCACAACGTTAAGTCCCAGCCTTCCATAAAGGCCCCAGCTCTCTTCTTGAGGAAATCATAATTCTGCCAGATGGGCAAGACCCTGGGTAACAATTCAACACTGGTACACTTAATAATTCTGGCAATATCTTTGCTGTGTAAAACTCGCAATCTCCTGTCCCTGTTTAATCTCTGTGAAGTGTAACCTGGGCCTAGGACCTGAGATTTAAGGATGACTGTGAATAAAATGCACAAGCCTAAGAGATGTACAAGCTAGCAAAACCCTTCTATTCCAGGTTGACTCTTTTTTTGAGCTCCAGTTTTAGTAAAAAGCTCTTCCTTCATCCCTAAGTGTTCAGAGTGACTTCTCACTGGGAAGCACATTATTTCTATAACAACATCACCAGGCATGATGTCCCAGTGTCCTTACGCAATCTTCAGAGAAGGGAATATAAAACCAGAGACAGTCAACACAGGCTCATGGTTTTAACAAAACCCCATGAAAAGCCATGACCAAATTATAACATTTCTTTTATTATTACCTCAGTATCACTGTCTGCCCAAATTCTTTAACCTGCAGTCCATCCCAAGTCTTCCTAAGAATCTACTTCGTGAGTTAAAGATGTACAGGGAGCAAAGTATTCTAGAATTAAAAAAAAAAGGTAAAATTTACACAGCAAGGAAGGACAGAGGCAGCTCAGCATGTGATGTGGTGGTCAGATCTTCATCCTCAGATGACACGCTGGCTTCCAGAAGCACAGAGGCGGATGGGAAGCACACCCTCACTACCCTCACACACACGCAGCTGTCCAATGCTGGGAACAAAGTAGGAAAACACTGAACTATAATGCTGACAGTACATGCTTCTAGGTGTCTGGAGTCTGATTAATAAAGAACAAGGGAAATCTACAACAAGGAAAGGGAACATACATTTATTAAAAATAAAATAGCACAGTCTCTGATAATGAACAATTAAACCCCACTCAGGAATCCAAAGACTTCCAATATACAATGTAGCAATGTACATTGGTTAAAAAAAAATCCCATGGAGTCATTTATTTTAGAATTTCCAAAGGAGAAACGAAAAACCCCACTCAGGTTCCTCATGGTGGAGACTGCCTCCAGGCGCACACCTTAGACCTGCATTCCCTCAGTGTTCCCCACAAGGCACCGCAGCATGTGCGGCAGCTCCCATCAACGCATCTTTTGGGCTAGTCAGTTCTGTATGATGATCCAGAATAAAAACCAGTGCTTTCATTTCACAGAAAGTATTCACAGACCAGAGGAGCAGGGATGAGCTGGTTTCCTCAAATCTTCAATTTTAATGAAGACTCAGACAGAATTACTAAATCTAGATGCTTTCACATTATTTTTGGCTGGGTGTCCAGTACAGTATAAAAATTAATGTAAAATTTTAAATGAACCAAAACTGATGTCTCTGAAGATCGAAGTTCTTCCCTCCTGGTGTGGCTGCTGAATCTTCTATCTCTACATTAGCAATGTTTTCAAACTGAAGAACTTCAAGAAAGATTGTGCACTGTTGAAGACAGAACCAAAGGACTGCCCAAACTTTTGCCTAGGACACGCACAGCTCCTGCTGGATACTGGACGGTGCTAACTTACTGTCTTCAGTCTTTTCTTGTCCAGGGCCTTGACAAGTGGTCTTCCTCTTAAATAACCTAAGACTCAGCCGAAGTAGCTCGTTGTCTACCATTGGAGTGTTTGTGTACGCCTGCTTCACAGTTCCCTGTTTGGAGAAAACAAACGCAACAAGCTGTACATCACTGGGCCACAGTGCGAAAGACAAGCAGGGTAGCTCCACCCCAACCAGTGTTAGCTGAGCACTGACTCTGAACTCTGCTGATGTTACAGCAAAATTAGGACTCTGTTCAAGACCAATCAAGCAAGCTTCAGAGGTACCCTATCTAGCTCTTACTAGGGTGGGGCTCCTCAACAGCTCCCAACAAGTAATTAACTGCATTTACCCCACCGTTTCTATGAGAAAACAAACACTGGAGCGAAGCAGAGGCAATGTGCACTGAGCTTCTCCCGAGGGATCCCTACTGAGCAGCTCTAGTAGTCAATCTCGTTATGCCCTGGCAAAGTAAAGATTCAGAAAGAAGAATCACAACTTCTTCCTCATTTTTCCTTCACAAGCCAGACAATTCTTCACTCCTTACTGGTCTCACTGCACTTGGGCAGTAGAACTGAACACATTTTCTAGAAGATGGCTTGTTTGTCATCACTATGCTAAGGAACTACTGCCTCGTAAAGAAATGTGTCTGTTTCTGTAGCCTAAAGTTGGATGGGACAATTAGTGTCAAACAGTTTGTTCTACACCCCTAATACATATAATGAAAAAGGGCACTACACTATTATTCTTAGTTTCTAAGACCTCAAATACAAATGACTCTGGATGGTTCCTGAACCACATTTGCATTCTTTCAAAACGAATTTTATTTCCTAAGATATGGTAGAGTAAAGGTAACTTTTTATATGCATTTCTATGAGGTTTAATACAGATTCATGCAAACGACAACAGTTAGGATAGACAGGGTCTTTACTTCATGAAGCATTAAACAATACTCTCAATCCTAATGCTGACAATCGCTGACGTCTCCCAGTATAATGCCTTTGAGGTTCATGCACGCTGCCCAGGTGCCAAGAGTCTGCCTATGTTTGCTGATAGTAACTATCTACTGTCAGGGCTGTGTTACAGCTCTGCTAATGAAAGGACACTGGAGGTGGTTTTCAGTTTGGAGAGAGTGTGGTCAAGTTTTAACAGGTTAGTTCTTTTTGGCAACTGATATAGGTAATTAATAGGCTTTCACTGCAGTCTTAATTTACATGCCATTCATGTACTTAATGTTATCCACACTGGCATGATGCCTGTTTAAATATTTCACCATTTTGAAAAACTGAGTTGTCTTCTTATTAATTCCAGAGGGTATCTTCATATATTTAGGATACGTAAGAAGTGTATTCTGTAAGTACTGTCTCCCACTATTTGTCTTTTCATTTTCTTACTAGTCTCTAAATTTATGAAGAGGATAATTATTTCATAATAAAAATAATTTTAAAAAATCAAACTATTTTATACTCTCCACTGCCCCTTTTTAACTGGTCACATCTGTATCCACTTGTGAACTCTGTTCACTTCAACTGAAATGATATTCTCTCACCAATGTATTATTTTAAATATGTCTCATAGTAAGTGTTGAATGAATAGGTAAAATTTCCCATTTATTTTTTAGTGGTTTTGTTTTGTGTAAAAGTGATATGACCAGTCTCCATGTAAATTCTAGAATCAGCTTGTTCATCTCCACAAGAGATTTTGGTTGAATTTTTACTAGAATTCTGATAAATCTGCAGACCAACCTTGGGGAAAACAATAATCTTAACTATCACTTGATATGATCATGTATTTTTCTTTTTAGTCTGATATGTAGATCACACTGAGTTATTTTCAAAAAAACTAGTCCGTCATTCCCAAGGCAACCCATATTTGATGGTGGTACAGGGTTCACTTCATATTACTGGCTTGATTCCCCAGCATTTTTGAGTATCTTATGACCATCTTCATGAGAGAGGATGAGCAGCTGTTTTCTTGCTGTGCCTGCAATGCTGGGGCTGTGACAGAAGCTCCTGCTTCTTCAACTTTTTGAAAACACTGTGTGGAATCAATGCTTGTTTTGTTGTTAACTTTTTTAAAGGCCATTTAGCAGATTTGCAAGTGTGACTGTCTAGGAATAGAAATTTCATTTTTAGAAGAATCTAAACCAGAGGTTCTCAATCTGTGGGTCTTGACCCTTTGACAAACTTCTATCTCCAAAAATATTTACATTACAATTCGTCACAGAAGCAAAATTACAATTATGACATAGCAATGAAAATAATTTTATGGTTGGGAGTCACCACAACATGTGGAACTGTATTAAAGAATAATAGCTTTAGGAAGGTTGAGAACCATTGATCTAAACTAAACTTAATCTCTGTGTTCTTCTACTGCTATTTCGAGTTTGAAACCATTGTTAGCTCTGTCCCTTTCTTTCAGCGAGTGCTGCTATTTGTAACCCAAACTGGTGTCAATCTGAAAATCCTCCTGAGCAGAACGCACAAGCCTGGACTTCCAGGCCCCGCTAGTGCTGCTGTCTTCATCACTGAGAAGTCTAACGCTCATAATTCTTTCTGCAGATGGGTTAATTAAGACATTTATGAGTAATTAAAACTTCACAGTGTGTCCTACAGTCTGCCAATTATGTGCACTCTCTATTACAAATATAAGGCTCTTAAGTAATTCTCCACGAGATTTTTTTTTGGGGTTTTGAGCTGCTATCGTTTTTGAGGGACACAATGGTATATCAGGTGAGGAACCAACAAGGACCATAAAATATTTTTTACACAAAGTGGGTAATATCCTGAGGATACTGGCACTCCTTATTGGAACTAGCTTTAACATGACACAAGTGATCATTTACAACCGAATAAGGATGATGGTGACTGTTGTTAGTGCCAAACTGCAAAGAGGGCTCACTACATACATGTTTAGGGATGGGGGGTGGTAATACTCTCAAGAGAAATGCTGAGTTGAGAAAGACTGCCAGGAGAGATGGCCACCTAGGCAGAAGAATGAGGAGATATTAAGTATATGCAAAACAGAAATAACAAAGGAGAATGACCAACTTCGTCAAAAGTCATTTTGAGTCAGTTCTTTTGTGAGGAAGAGGACAGACAGACAGACAGACAGACAGACAGGAAGGCAGACACAGAGAAAGAGACAGGGGGGGAGGAAGAGACAGAGAGAGGTAGACAACAGACAGAAGGTGGGAGAGAGGGAGAGACAGACAGAGGGGTGGAGGAAACAGACACACACAGACACACACACACACACAGACATACACACACACACACACACATACACACAGGAGAGACAGACAGAGGGGTGGAGGAAACAGACACACACAGACACACACACAGACACACACACAGACACACACACAGACACAGACAGACAGACAGACAGACGGACAGACAGACAGACAGACAGACAGACAGACAGACAGACAGCACACACACACACACACACACACACACACACACACACACACACACACACACACACACACACACACACCCGGGAGAAGCCACTGACATGGGTCCTAGGAAGTAGACTCTGGTCCCCTGGAAAGAAGCAAGTGCTCTTAACTGCTGAGCCAGCTCTCCAGCCCCTCACACCTGACTTTCTAAACTGTCTCCCACTCTCACATTGTGTCCATTCTAGTCTCCAGAGAAGACTTCATAAATTTCCAGTTAATAGATTTAATCCTCCCAAATCTGCTGCTTTTTCTTTATAGCAATGTTAAAGAAATAAAATTCAATGTTTTCCTGCCTACCTACTCCTGTAAACTCTTAGTAAGTTAATTCTTTTCTAACTTTACAAAACCAACTTTTTTTTTATCATACTGCCCATGTCCACCACACTCAACTATTGTCCCAGTTCCCCAACTTTAAAAAGCCTGACTCTTTCAACTGCCCATCAACTCCTTCTCAAATCTCAAGTAACTCATTTCTGACCTTTAAGTCATCTTCATTTGTCTCTAGTAAGTGCTTGTACATACTCTGATAAGTCTGCCTATCCCAAGAAGCTTTTATCACACATTTCACATAAGGAATAGGCTTTTATGCATAAAGTTTGGAATGACAATTATCATTCACAAAAACCACTTATTAATACTACTGAGGGTGAAATGTGAAATCTTCCTTTACGTGCCTAGCAGACTAGGAAAGCAAGCTCACAAAACCCGTTAAGATGAAAAATATACTACTCCTTCCACCCACTGCGTGGTACCTTTTCGTTCTTCACAAGCTGCTTCCGGATTGCAGAATCCCATCTGAAACATAATGCTTTACAACATGGTCCCAGGTCTCTAAGAAGACTCGCTCGTTCTTCTTTTCGAAGTAGAGCAGCCATGTTGAGGGCCCCTAGTTCATGTTCGAAAAGGCCATCTGCATCTTTCAATTAAAGCAAGCATAGGTTAAGTCTCCCTTAAAGAGGGAAGTGTGACACTGACTTACCTGAATACTCCAGGAACCTGACTTAAGGAAGTTAGCAACCTTAGTGAGCGACTTACCAAGGCTAAACAGCAATGGGCAATGGTTCCCTTGTGAAGGAACTTCAACACATAGTTACCTTGCGAGTCTTACATGAAAGCAATAGGGTGATGCTATTTTAAATTTAAGATGTATCAAAAGCAGACATCAGAGGGAGAATGAGGCCACTGGTTCTTGGCTTGAAAGAAAGGTCAAATGAGAACACTGAAATCCTATTCAGTGTCTTGCCCAGCATTAAATACCACGTACAGTCCTGTATTTCAGGGCTCTTCTACAACAAGATACAAATGTACTCAAGCAGAGACGATGACTTCTATAACCCCAGTTAAGAGCAGTTAGCTGTCAGCCAAATGTCCAAGTCACATAAGCATCTGGGACACTGTGTTAAGACATAGGAAGCTAGTTTTAGATCACACCATGCAAGAGAAAAACACTTAACTTGACAAAAAAAAAAAAAGAAAGAAAGTTTTTATTACAAGATTGCTGGGATAAAGTAAACAAACAACTGGGGTCAGCAGAAGCTGTTCTCTGAGGTCCACAGACCTAACCAAAGTAAGAACCCTGGGGTCACTTTTCAGATTATGAAGTGTTCATCTACAATTTATTGGTAATATTAAAATTGACAACTTTACTGATTATGGGAACAGGCCAAAGGACATGGATTTGTGGAACTTTAAAAACAATTTCTTTCTTTTTTAACTTTTAGGGACATAACATAAAACTGTTAAGAAATGGCATTTTCGCTTTTTACCTCCCTCCCATGTTCAGGCATCCCCACTCAACCTCTCTGACAGAATTGTTAGTAAGCTATAGAACAACAGAAAGAATCAAAAACACCAGGTTCCCTAAACTAAAAGGTTCAGATTTGCCAAAAGTTATAATAAGGTGAAAAATAATTCAGAGAAAGTGTTTTCTGATGAAATGCTAACAGTCAAAGCGTAACACTACTCCAGGCAGGCACTGTTCCCAGTGTCCTACCTGCAGTAACCAGCCTGCTTCTTACTGCAGACAAGAGACAGTGGGGGGGGGGGAAGGGGGACTGTTCCAACTACAGCTGACACGAACAGAGATTAGGTGAGCGAGGAGTGGGGTGCTCTCAGGAACCTCTCCACCACTCCTAATCATTCTGCTAAGGGCTCAACCTAGACATTCACATTTGGGGTGCGCTCCTCTGCTTATCACCCACACTTGGCTTAGAAAACAACTACTGACTTCATGGGGCTGTTCTGTTTAGCCCTGAGCCAACCTCTGCTTTCTGACACATGAACTCATCTGTTAAAAAGCATTTTCTCTCTTCTACAGTGAGGAGTTCAGCCCAGTGGCTGTGCTTATGTTCTACATCGAGCTAAACCGTCTGCCCTCAAAAATATTTGATATAGGATGTTCATTTTCTTACTTTTCCAACTTTTTTTCAAGAAAATGAAGCCTTTCTTGAATCTAAGAGCTCATTTAACTCCTTAAAATAGTTCCTAGAGCTCAGGCTCTACAAGATAACCAAATGGAATCTTTCCCAAGAGCACACTCACAGTTACACGGATAAAGCAAAATGAAGTTACCTTTGGGCTTTTCTAGAAGTTGCTGACACGTTTCTTTCACTTTAGTGAACAGCTCAGATCCTGCCAACTTTTTAGAAATCCCAACGCGCAGTAGGACAGCTCCAGGGGTGAACTTTAAGAGGGCAGCGCCAGGCTTTCTTGGTTCTTTTGGATGCTTTGGCGTAAGTCCAGACCAGTCCACATCTATCACATCTAATGGATCTGTAAAAAGTTAAAGAATTAAAGACCAGGACTTTACACCAAGAAACTGGTCCTGAGGCTGTTGAGATGACTCAGCAGGTAAATGTGGCTGAAGTCAAAGCTGTCACCCTCAGTCAGATTCCTGGGACCCACATGGAAGAACTGGCTCTCAAGAGTTGTCCCTCTGAGTCCCACTCCCAGCAAATGAACGAATGAATGTAAGAGAGTAATACAGTGGGTATTTGCACACAGCAAATAATCTATTGAAAATGTGACAAATTGTACCTACAAATTAGGAAATATTATATATCCAGACCAATCAAAATAACTCCCTGTGATAAAACAACAAAATAAACATAACAAGTGTGGTAGCAAATGTGTATAAATCCGGGGTTTGGGAAGATAGAGGCAGGAGAATCAGAAGCTCAAGGCCATCCTTAGCTATAGGGGGGTTTGAAGTCAGCGTGGGCTATATGAGATCTTGTCTCACAAACTAAAATTTAAAAAATAATAATCAAATAAGAAGTTGCGCACTGAGCCCTGACTGAGGCAGATGGCTCTCTGAGCACTAGGGGCGCTGCTTCACAGCCCTCTCAAGTTAGCCGGGCAACGCACGGATCACAGTAAGGACAAAGTCACGGGATGGACACATTTCAGAAAAGGAACTTTATCAGCTGTGTTCAAACAGACAAACTATAAAGTTGGCTCAGGCCACCACACTTGTGAAATCCTGTACCACATACCTGCCATGTTGGACACTGGAAAGCAGCTGGCCATTTGGTAAGGTTCTGGGTGAGTTAATAAGACTCTTAAGCTGTGAAAAGGAAATGTTCCAATTCTGCTTTTCCCTGGACACTCTTCTTTCATAGGCAGTGACGATTAAAGAATACAGATGCATGCATTACAAATTCTTTCTAATGGCCTCCCTTACTTAAGAGCTGAAGGGAGGAGCTAGGTGCCCCTCACCACTTCTTAGAGCATGGAAGAAAGCAAAGGACACATCCACCCCACACTCCAGGTCTTCTGTGAGCTCTGCAATGTATTACCTGGCATCTTCTCCTCTTCCTGAGGGTCCTCTCTCTTTTCTGGGTCCCCGGCCAGAATTTCATCTAGTTCATCATCACTGATGGGTTCGTATCCTTCCCCAGCACCAGATCCTAACGAATGTACATCATCTAACTTGGACTCATCATCTCCTGCTAAACAGACAAATTAAGTTCATGTAAAAAATAAATAATAAAGGGGAGCAATAGTGAAACTGAAAGGACTATTGGGCACAATAAAAGGATGTAAAAAAAACTATTTTTTAAACCAGAAAACTACATTTCTTGGCCAAGCACTTGATAATTTTAACCTGAAAAATAAAATTCAAATAGTTATATTTTTAATATGAAAAATACAGTAGCATCAGGTGGTGGTGGCGCACACCTTTAATCCTAGCACTCGGGAGACAGAGGCAGGTGGATCTCTGTGCGTTTGATACCAGACTGGTCTACAAGAGCTAGTTCCAGGACAGCCCCCAAAGCCACAGAGAAACCCTGTCTTGAAAAAGAAAAAAAAAAACCCCAAAAACCAAAACAACAACAACAACAAAAACAGCAGCAATATCCAAACACACTGTAAGGTCACACTTCAGTATCAGATGTAATGCTGAGTATGTATACTGTATTAACTGACAGTTTCATACATGTATATAGTGAATTTTTGCCGTTTTCACCCCTGCTTCCCACCCTCACTTCCCTTTCTGTTGGAGGCTTTCTTCAACAAGGTCCCCTCCTATTTCATGTCTTCTTTTTGTGTGTCAATTTTCCATAATAACTCTTGAGCATTCGGATAAGTCAAGTTTCAAAAAGGTACAGTAATTTTTTACCTATAAACTCATTTTAAAAACTCGCAATTCACAATGAGTGGAGAAAAAAATCACAACAACCAAAAAAACAAAAAATAACTCGTAAACCTTTTTCAAACTGCATTTTAAGCTCAAATCTTAAGTCTATGATATTTAGCTATAAATACAAACTTTCTAACAGTGGGAGACAAACATGAAAGTGTTGTTAATTTCCCTATCTCTCAATCCTGCTTCTCTGTCTCAATGCTTTCATTTCCTTACTAAATGAAATTTTTGGAAGAATGCTGTAATAATACACTAGAAAGTAGCATAAATTCTATTTTGCTATTTTATTGACTTTTCCCCTCAACTATTCCTAGGCTAAGCTTTTATTTCCTATTGAGCAAGTTGTAAACCTGGTCCCCAAACTATAAATATGCTTAATTATGTCTAAGCTACATATTTTATGGATCTATAACCCTTGTTTTCAAATTGTAACAACAGGCTCTTGGGTATGCATCTGAAGCATTAAAAGTATGAGACTATGAGGTATTTCTAATCACTCTAATAGTTTTTTCTACTGCTCAGAAGAAAATCCCTGTATGTACTCTATTAAATATTCTCAGTAACAACATCACACTGATGGTTTGTGAAATCACTGCACACCACGTTGGTGGGCTTGCATATAATGAGAATATTGTGCTGAGCCATGAAGCTGCTACCAACAAGAGAAGTGTAACGCAGGGTTTTACACCGTCTTGGCCAGTTACATTTTTATGCAATGTAACTTGGTTGGTCATCAGAGTTGATTTTAGATTTTTTTCAGTTTGAAAGCCTTGACTAGATTAATCCATTTGGTCACCCTAATTCTGGGCAAACCCCAACAACTGTTTTATCTCTTAAATCAACTATCTCCAGACTGCTATTGCACCAGCTGGGCTCTGAGCCCCTGGTATATGGTGAAGGCCTTCTGAAGACTAAGTGTTCTAACCTCCACCGAAGCCTCCATTGATGATGATGATCCTCAGCACATGCCCTGTGGCACAGGCCATAGGCACACCAGCTAGTGCTGGACTCAGCTGACTGCTCCATAGAAGCACTGGTGAGTCTCACACATAGGCATCATGGAAAAGCCTATGCCACCATGGGCAACAACTCAGGAAAGCTGCGTCACTGTGGCCCCCTGCACAAATCTTCCACAGAAGAGTCTCCTTCCACAACAACATTTTACTGATTATATTTTACTATAAAATTCTGTAATACTTTCCCAATATCCTCACCAACTCCAGTGTAACAACTTGAATATTCCTAAACATATTCCTAATACATGTTCCTAAAACTAAATGTACATAATAGAGTTTAAGGTTTCAAGTTTATCTAACTCACTTTTTTCTACCCCAAGTGACTCACTTCTAAATATTTATACCATATTATCTGTGGTCACAATAAAGAAATGATATATTTAGGATGAAGACAGTGATTCCAGTTCTAAAGGAACTGTTATAATTGAACTAATTATATTCAGTTACACCCCAAGGTTGTACTTCCATAAGAACCATAACTTGTGATCTGATGCTACTGATACTCAAAACTGAGAAGAAAATGTAATGTGATGAAAGCTGAGATACATGTTTTTGCAAAATGAGAAAATAGGCATACTAGGAGTTAGACTTAGCAACAACCTTTCTACAAACAAACAAAAAACCCAAACAAAACAAAACAGGGATTTGAAAAGAAAGGTTAAGTCAGAAAAATGATGTAAATTCTGACTGTGAAACTGGAGAGTTCCAGGGAGACAGAATTTCCAAAGCATTCTCAGAGAAGCCACCCCTTGTCAACCTGGACTATACAGAATCCACCCAGGAATACTGCGTGGATAAGCACACAGGCAGAGTATCGACCACACGGTATGTGCGATACAGCCCCAATGACAAAGGAGGAAATGGACAGGAAGACATGGGAAAGACATTCAATACAGAGCATGGATGCTTACACAGACACCCAGCACAGTGAAAACTCACAGAGCAGGTTTGTAGAGAAAACTCGAGAGAGCAAGTAATACATTACGGTTTTGATTTGAGTAAGAGAGAGAGGATAACAGGGAAAAGGAAGGATAAAGGAAGGTGAGAGACTGGAATTACCTATGTCAGGTTGTCTATGGCCTGGGGATGAGTACAAAAACAACATTTTATTGTTTTTCAATTACGGCATGACAACATTTAGCCTGTAGTAAAATCCGCTGACTTAAAAGAAGAAAAAAGTGACCATGTACATTTCTTGGCTATGGGATTAGATAGCTCAATAAGGCCTGTTTTAAGCACACATGCACCCACCCCCACCCCATCTGACTTAATGACATTTCTACTTTAGCTCTTTCTACTACATTCCACCTCAATTTGAGAGTAAAGAACATGAACTCATGGGTCATGGTTTTAAGGGAGGGTTAGACTTTCTGCATAACTAAATTGGATTTAACTGAACTGTAACAAACCCAACTGTCTGCAATCACTTGCCTTTTACTGACGTTACTATCCCTACTACTAAAGAGTCAGTTTGCCTGGCACAGTGGGATGAAAGGGGGAGAGGAGCGGACTTGAGACTGGTTCTGACTGGGCAACGGCTGATGAGGCCCTGTGTTCTCACTGGAAGAGAGGGGTGCCATCAGGCTCCTATAGTCAATCCACCATCAAATAGCTTTAGGGGGTGGGGCTACAACATGTTCATTTTCAACTGCCCTAGCAAACGGGGACCACTAAAAGCTATTTATTCCTCACTTCAATTTTTGTCACAAGTTGAGACAAGGTCTTGCTATGTAGGTCAGGCTGACCTTGAACCTGATTCTCCTGCCTCAGCCTCCCTGGAGACAGGACTATAGACAAGCATGAGTCATCATGCTCAGCTGGGTTTTTTTACATGCAAGAAAAAGATGTTACTAAAAGCTACAGGTATGTACCTAAGCTATCAGTTTAGTTTTTGGGTGGCAACAGAAGTGACTGTTCTATCTTTTAATGTTGTGCTCACCACCTTTGACTTCAACCATTACTTCTCTGTTTCATTAAGACCTTGACAACACTACTGAAATGGACACACTTCTACTCTCACAGGCTTTCCTTATTCATCTACTTCCACTGTAACAGAATGGAGTCAATCATCTATTTGTCACGGATGACGTCAAAAGAAAACACGGTCCTGTAGGGAATTGGGAACGCAATGGGGCAATCAAGAGAGAACAGCGATGCTCTCACCTTCCGGACTCTCTGCTCTCTCAGCCTTACTCACATCTTCAAACCCCTGCACAGAGCCCAGGTCTCTATCCATTCTTTCTTTGTCCACGGCTGAGTCCCGGGAACTGCCATCAAGGCCTCTTTCGTGCTCACTCTCCAGTCTGGCTTCACTGCGTTTCACAGATTCTGACTGAGAAGTCTCAAAAGTTCTATCTCGGTCTCTGTCCCTGTCCACAAGGTCAGCGGTCAGTCTTTCTCTTTCTCTGTCCAAGTCTCTCCTTTTGTCTCGATCTCTGTCTCGTTCCCGCAGTCGATCTCGGTCTCTGGTCCGTGGCCACTCTTTATCGGCTTCCCGGTCCCATTCCCTCTGCCTCGGGTCTCTTCGGTCCCTCTCCCGGTCGTGCTCATACCTATCTCGCTCTTGAAGTCTATCTCGACTGTCAAATGACCCAGACCTGGAATGGACCTGCCGATCTGACTCAGGGGAGCTTCTTCTTGAGCTGTGGCTTCTGGAATCCTGGCGATCTAAAGTGAGTGTGCATAGGAAAGTTAACACAAGAAACGGAAACAGAATGCTTCATTTTACAGTTCCTTACAATTTATAACTTCTCTATTTTTAATGTTGTTCATATACTCTGTATTTTTAGTGCTGATTAAGTTTCACAAGCGACCTTATTTATTTTCACTATAGACCAAATCATCAAAACACAAATACAGAAGAACACACTAACACAGCTGACTGCTCTAGTCTTGGATCTCTTCCCTATGTTCTTTTCTATGGTCAAAAAGTGGCTCTGGCTGCGGGAGGGAGAACAAGCTAAAACACATAAGCTCAATCCATAAAACACATCACTAAGACCCTGACTAACACTCTGCTGCACGTGTTTCTTCACAGCGGTGGTATTAAAGTAGCAACAGATGAAATTTTAATGAAATGGTTAAGCTTTTGTTTTGTTTTGAGCTTGCATGCAATTTCAGGCAACATGTTAAACAGCCAGTTTGGCACTGCTTCAGAGTTATAATGTGGATGCAATACACTACCACAGTAAACACTAACTGGATCACAATTCAACTTTATTACCTGAAGAAGCACTTCGACTGGGTTCTCCACGCTTTAACTGATCAATCCTAGACTTTCTTTCTCCCGTGATTTCTAGGCTTTTTGTTTTTTCTCTGTCTCTAGAGCCACTATGCAGCACTCTCTTTCGACTGCCCTGGTCGTCCCCACTTCGATGGGCAGAGTCATTAGATGGGGAGCGCAGGCGACCAGAGGTGTGGCTGCGGTGACTTCGATTGCTCCCAAGGCTGCTGCTCCTCTTTTGATCCACCAGCTTGCGATGTGGTGTATCTTCTAGGGTCACATGAGATGCCTCGACTTTCTCCACCCGTGTCCTGTGGCATTTTCTATGTGAGTCTTCAGGGACACTGGCACTGGAGGTGGTAGCAGAGCTGGAAATGATGGCAGAGGTGGCAGCAGCAGTAGCCGAGGCAGCAAGAGCAGCAGCTGCAGTACTGGCAGCAGCCACAGGGGGTGGAGGAGGGAGGAGAGAGGACAGAGGGGAAGGGGTACTACCCGGGGTGGCGGTGGCTGCAGTGTGCTCAGGCTCCATGCCCTCGGTGCGGTCAGGCACATCCTCATCCGACCAGTCACTAAAGGCTGTATCTTCTTTCTTCAGTGGATCCTCGAGCATGCCATCCTTATCAGTGGAAATGTCAATCAACTCCTCCTTGACAGCAAGAGGGGGCGTGCGTGGACCTCTCTTCTTCTTGCTCTGTGGGGCCACCTCTTCATCAGAGACATCAGAATCACCTTTGGATCTTTTACGCTTTTTCTCAACGTTTTTCTTCTTCTGTCCTTTTTTGGGTGAAAACACTTGAGCATCTTCAGATGTCTCGAGGTTGCCCCTTTCTAGTCCATCTTCCTCCTTTTTTTTCTTAATAGGTTTCTTCGGAACTTTGGCTTTTTTCTTTTCATCGTGGGCACGATCAGACACATCTCGGTCCCGGTCCCGGTCCCGGTCTTCGGGCTGGCGGTGGCTAATCAGGTCTTGTGCACGAGCTCTTGAGCTGTCCATGTTTTCACCTTGCTCTCTTTGCCTATCGCCAGAAGAAATCCTCTCTTTGAGTTCTTGCTCTTCATAGCGCCTCGAACTCTCTTTTCTTTCTGATTTACGATCCTCCTCTTTCCACCTACTCTGCCTGTCTTCTGTGAGGTGAGATGGGCTGAGAGAACGAGAGTCTTGTGGCCGTACAACCTGGCTCAAGAGTCTATGCTTTTCATCTATACAAAAATAAAAGCAGTCACATCTCCATTAGGTCAGTAAACCAACATCGCATTTAAACTACAAACTCATTTTTCATTTCAAAACCTTCAAAATGGCAATAAAAATATAACCACATCTCTAACAACCAAAATTTGGAAAAGATAGTGGCCTTGTGTAAAACGGTTCCTGACACACTTTAATCACACCAAGAAACATGTAGCAGCACAGGAAAGGGGCATCTTCAAAAGTCTGACTCATCAGTTGCAATTAATGTCAAAGTATGGGCTCACAGCTACAATGAGCATGCAGAGACAGGAAAGAGACTACTCACTTTTGTCATCTCCACTGTGGTAGGTGTCACTGTCAGGAGAATGCTCCCGCCGGCGCTTGGGGGACTGCCGGGGGCTGGGACTCCCTTCATTTCTGTAGCGTTTCCTAAATTTGGACAAATACATGTTACAAAGTTCCACATGGAAAGTCTGGTCTTTACCTGCATTTCTTCACTCAAGAAGAAGTACAACCTCAGGAAAGCGGTTGTCAGAGCTGTAACCACAAAGGGCATATGCGATTATTAAAATTTCTTTTACTTCATTTGCTAAAACATAAAACTGAGTTAAAGTCCACAGGGACATTTCTCTCATCACACATATGAAACACTCAAGGGAAACTTGCCAGATCTAAATACTACAAGCTGGTAACATACAAGCAGAAAAATCAATACAATGATATATTCTATAATACAACTTGTCAAATTTATATACCTCATGCTGAGAAGGATAAGAAAAATCTACAATTATGTTGGGACTTAAAAAAGCTGAGTTTGACTTATAGCCACATTATTTTCATGTAACCTAAGTAAGTTCCTTGAGGTCCCCAAATCTTAATTCTCTCATCTAAAATTGGGAGAAAAAGCAAAAGTCCTTCTCACGAGACTACAGTGAGTTAAACTACTTATAAAAGTTCAATACCATGTGGGTACGCTATAAAATTCCCTTTATTTGCATATAACTAAATCACTTTCTTAATTACAAGTCAAGAGATAATTTTGTATTTACTTGTATATTCAAGTACTTACTGTATTTGATTTTGTAACTAAACTTTAACTGAGTAGGAGTTTAGACTCCTTGGGTAAATTATCCTCGTGTTTTCTTATATGCTCATACATTCTGACCTTTTTTTCATTAAACTCTAACTTTTTAAGAGTTAACTCTTAGATACCAGGGTCAAAAGCTGAGAAAGAACAGCTCCTTACACAGATGAGTGACCGTGTGTACAGGGGGGGCAGCCTCAGGAATAGTATGACAACTCACAGGACCCAACCCATTGGCAATTCATTGTGCAAAGCTTTTTCTACCAAGAGTTTGCCTATTTCCCTATTGTTTAAATCTGGGTTGGCTCAGACTATATTATACACAAGAAAATGGAATGTAAGTCACACTATATGAATATGGAGAGGACTCGAGGATTTTGGAGTTTCTGCCTGGACGACTGAAGGCTAACGGGTCATGTGGAGGAGAAGGAAGCCACTGGAGAAGGATTCCTAGACCTACTAGACTTTGGGCCTACAGGTCTCGGTGGACTTTCAAGTTAACCACAGTGCTGAATGACACCAGCAGAACACTCTGCTGAGCCCAGGTAACACAGTCCACCTACAGAACCAAGTATCTGCTCACTTGGAGTAAACTGTTAACACAGCAAGGGGTAGCTGATGTATCAGGATACAGCAGAATTTACAATACAAGAAACACCATTTAAATTACTTTTAAGAAAACCCGAAGTTAGAATAATAAAAGAAACACTATGGTAGGTAATTCAGCAAACTTACATAAAATAAAGATTGCTTTTTTAGCCAGGCAGTGGTGGCGCACGCCTTTAATCCCAGCACTTGGGAGGCAGAGGCAGGCGGAGCTCTGTGAGTTCAAGGCTGGGCTGGACCGATAGCCTCCAAAACAATACAGAGAAACCCTGTCTCAAAAAACCAAAAAAAAAAAAAAAAAAAAAAAAAAAAGATTGCTTTTTGTTTAAGTTCTAGATAAGTTCAGCGCATTGAAATGAGAAAACAATGAAAATATGAAGTTATCAGCATCATTTAACTATTTTTAGTTACAGGTAGCATCGCTTCTAACTTTCTATATTCAATTTTTGGTTAAATATGAAAAAATTTAAAATAATGCTACTGTAAGACAGTAGACACATGAAAAAATATTAATCAAAGCATGAAACATATGAAAGATAAGGACTTAAAAATGTTAATCTTAGGAGACAGAATTAAAGAGAAATGTACATTTGCCTACAACATTTGGTTTGCATTCATTATTCTTTTTTTTTTTTTTTTTTAAATGAGACAGGGTTTCTCTGTATTGTTTTGGAGGCTATCGGTCCAACCCCTAGCCTCGAACTCACAGAGATCTGCCTGCCTCTGCCTCTGCCTCTGCTGGGATCAAAGGCATGTGCCACCACCGCCCAGCTGCATTCATTATTCTTAATGTGGAGAGAGGGATAGAGAACAGAAATGGACAAATGTGGAAAAATATAGCCCTGGAATCCATAAATAGAATCAGAACTATTTAGACACCAAATAAATGCATGTATGTGAATACACACGCATACACATGTAGTGACTTTGGGGTACAACAAGTGGCGCAGGAAGGGCAGGCAGAACGGGACTCTACTGACACTGAAGGCCCCGCCCTCCTTACTTGGACTTCCTCTCCTCGTGGCAGTCTCTGAGGTTCCGGTCCTCTCGGATGTCCTCGCGCTTCTCCCTGCGCTCATCGCGTCCCTTGTCTTTGTCTTCCCATTCTCTTTGCCGTTCGCGTTCTTTTTCTCTTTCTCTTGCCCTTTCTCGCTCCCGCTCTCGTTCTCTCTCCCGCTCCCGTTCCCGCTCTCTTTCCCTCTCTCTTTCCTCTCTCTCCCGCTCCCGTTCTTTTTCCCTCTCCCGCTCCCTCTCTCTTTCTCGCTCTCGATCATGGTCACGATCCCTCTGATCTCTCTCTCGTTCTCGCTCCCTCTCCCTCTCTTTCTCTCTCTCTCTCTCCCGCTCTCTAGCCCGCTCTCTTTCTAGTTCTCGTTCTCTTTCTTTTTCTCGCTCCCGATCGCGCTCCCGCTCTCTCTCTCGCTCCCGTTCCCGCTCCCGGTCCCTGTCTCTGTCTCTGTCTCTCATCCGCTCATCTCTTCTCTCGTCCACTCTGTCTACTCTTCTGTCATCGCGCTCAAGCTCCTCACTCCTTCCCTGGTGTCGGATAGGTGAGCTTGGTCTTTGATCTACAATAAAAATCAAGTTTGTCAGTGATTGATTTGTCATATAACCTATAGGTAAGTCTTAAATTTTATGACTACAGAGTGCCAAGTCACAGTAGCAACAAATTACAGATCAGGTACTGAACTTTTAATTCTATAAACTGAACCTTTGAACACTATTTTTAGCTATTCATTTGCCCTCTTAGCGACCCTGCTTTCCGCCTCCCCCCCATGCTGTACCTGACCTAACTTTGATTTTACGTCATGCTCCCGGCCCTATCTGCAGAGTCTACTACTTCAACCCTGCTTTCTGCCATCTCTACCCTTTACCACGGATCCTCTCTGTCCCCCAACAGAACCTGAGAACACTGGTGGCAAATGCCAGGGGCAGCAGGAGGAAAAAAAATTCCCTTGTAAGTCACGACACCTCTAATTTCAGCCCCAAAGAATACACCAAAATACAGCTATCATGTGAGAAAATAAAGAACAAACCAATGTTTAAAACTTGTGGTTGCAATATTAATTTCTAATAAGCTAGAATTAAGGGCACTGATGCCCCCAAACCTCAAAATAATCAAATTTACAAAATTCCATATTACTGATGTATTTAAAATGACTGACTCATTGCCTCTTATGTATCCCTCCCTCCCCACCCAGGTCCGGTCTTCACACAAACCCCATAAACAGAGAAACTGAATACATGTTGCTCAAATGCCTGGTTGAGCAGGAAGCTAGTCTGAGGCACGGCTCCAAAGAGACAGTCACTTTTAACACAGTGATGTGTCCAAGATATTGTAATCTAAGGGGCTACTCTCACATAATGTCTGCAGGCTGGTTAATCAATAAGTCATGCTGCAGTAAGTTCAACAGGCTGGCATGCCTGTTAAGCAGACAATTCTAGAATATTTCTAGGTTCAAGACAGAAACATGAATTTGCCTTATCCCTGATTGCAAAAAAAGTAAAAAATAATAAGGTTTGTCTACATTTACTACTTAAGAGTTTCTAGGTCCCTTTCAAAAGTTCATAGACTTTTAAAGTTAAAACACAATGAAATCCTACTCTGTCTTTACTGTTCTTCCTGTAGAAACTTAGCAACTTTGGTGTGGAAGTGATTCCGGTACCTTTGCCAGAGTTAATCAGAAATATCAAAACCAAAAGTCTGCTTTTCTCATTCCTTTTACTCCTGTTGAAATCCATTACAACCTTAAGTCGATCTACTGTATCACAATGTTTTTTCCCAGCAGACCATGTTTAGGGGGAATTTCTAGTTTGGTGATTATAAGTAAAATCACCATTATAAAATAACCCGAAAAACAACAACAACAAAACACCCAATATGGCAAATTTCCCAGCAGTTCCTATCTGCTGCAACACTGGAGTGAATGTCCAGTCACTTTCTTGGCAGATGAAACCTTTATGATCCCCGCCAAAGCTTCCCATCTTAAAAAACTACAAGCGCCACAGTACCATGCCAAATTGTCACCCTTCTATCCTCTCCCCTAGTACTTCTCAGAGATGTGCTTCTTCACGGTTCCCATTCCATTCTACACAAGCACACTCATTCCATTCCAACACTTCCGTCTCTTCTGGCCCCATCTCTACAGTTGCTACATTAATGCAGAACTCGTTCAGCTTGTGTCAGATGATGACATCATCAACTGTCTAAGTGGGCATATCTTTGCCTTAGTTCCCTGATCAGATGGACAATACTTCTCATGAACACTCAGACCCATATGCTTAAAGACAGTAACAAGCAGTGGAATCAGACCATTCCAGTCTGGCCTAGTGGTTGTGTATAGTTGTGCTACAGTCCCTTTTTAGTCTTTTCCTCCAGCTGCTCTGCTACCAGTTACAGGAGCCCACACTGTAGCCCAATAACGTAATGCTGGCTACTTGGGAGCAGATGAGTCTCTTTAGGCCTGCATGTCTATTTATGCCATCAGTACCAACTCTACACTTTCCCACTGTTCCTTGCAGCAAGCTTACGCTTTCTCTGTGCTAACACTGACAATACCTCTGTACTCAGGGGGCTCTCTTGACATTCCAGATTGTTACTTTGCCTAACAGAACTTTACATAGTCCTGGCGATCATCCCGTCTCAGCTGTCTGTGTGTATTGCACTCAGACTGTGAAAGTGAGAACAAGATATGCCTGGGCACACGCCTACCCTCAGCCTCTCTCGTTCTTCCTCCTGCTCACCATACTACGGCCACACCAGTTTTCTTTCATACTCTGAGACATGGCAGACTAGTATTTCCCATCTCAGGGAATTTGTACCTACTCTTTATTCTCAATAGATTCTGTTCATCATTTTGCAAAACTTGGTGCTTCTCTTGCCTTTACACCTCTGCATAAATTTCTTTCCTTGATGTTTAATAAATAATCTAAAGTAAGAAGAGGGTCTCATAGACTCTGTTCTATATCCAATCCTTATGTACTTCCTAGTAACCCTGCTTCAACTTTGATTTAAAGATCTTTCATAGCACATCAGAAGTTAGCTACAGCAAGTGCAGATTCTCAGGACAGAATACAAACATCATGTCCTTCTGGGTGACCCTTAGCCTATCATCACTATACCACCCCTTTCTTCAGTTCCCCTCTTTCTTCCATTCTCCCCCCCCTTTAGCTATCTCTGATATTCTTTGTAAAGTTACTGACAACAGCTGATTATTGAGTAGCCAGGACCTTTGGCTACAGGGGTTTAACTGATAATGATACATAATAACCTACATTCTTTAAAGATATACCTACCACATGCAATAAGGCAACCCCAGCTCTTCAGATCTATTTATTAGGTGCTGGTAGCTAGTTACATAATCACTCTTGTACCACACAAATATATGAATAACTTCAAATATGCTACCAAATACAGACCCGGAACCACATTTCTGTTAACAGTGACTTCATACCAATTTAATGAACAATCCCCCCAGCTGTTGAATACTAAAGGCTACATCACCATCTGACCAACCTCGTTCTCGGTTGTCCCGACGGTCTCTTTCTCCATGCCTTCTCTCAAAGGAAGAATCCCTGACTTGATCTCGGGTGTCTCTCTCAGGGTATCTGTCTCTCTCAGGGTAGCTGCTGCGTGTTTCCCAGCTGTCATGGTAGTTGCTGCTGCTACTGTGGCTATCCATTTGGGAACTTCTTGTGCCTCGACTTCCTACACAAAAGATGTTCAAAAATATTTAATAGACACATTTTAATGCAACAAGTTTATCAGTCACAATGTTTCCTCAAAGCAGTATGAAGTTTAAACTTTTTCTTAAATTCTAAAATATTATAAACCCTTCAAAGAAACCAAAACAACAACAACAAAAACCCTATGTGGGCCAGAGAACCCAAGTTGTCTAAGGACTGATTACACCACAGTAAGCTAAGCCATAATTTGTCCTGTCTGTAAGGAAGTCATCTGATATGAACATAAAGTTATAAGACTGACTTAAACTAATGCCAAAAACAGTAAAACAAAAAACCCTTTTTCATACTTAATATAGATGCAGCATGAGAAACTGAAAAAAATGGGGATATGTTATTACTTTAATTGTATGTTTATTGTGAAAATATTCTAATATAGAATGAAGGTAATTTGACAACATGAAGTGGTATCTGAAATTTGTTAAAAGATATGGGAAGTAGGCATGGTTGAACAATCCTACAATCCCAACACCTGCGAAGATGAGGCAGGAGGAACAGGAGATTGAAGCCAGGCTACAGTGAGACCCAAATCTAAACAAAACAAAACCTAACAAAGAAAGATGTGAAAAAAACAAATGTTCATTGTTCATAGTAATGTAACTCATAACAGTCATCAAACCGGAAGGTATCTGACCTTCTCTCAGTAGCGAAGGGTTAAACAAACGATGTAAATCTACCATACAATCACACTTGGCCAGAAGAAAGAAAAGACTGGCAACAAATTGGGTGTACCCCAGGAAGACTATGCTAGGTGAAGAAAAAAGCCAGTGTCAACAAAATGCATACAGCATGGCTTCATTATAAAGCGTTTGTGAAACAAGAGACCTGTTAGAGGTTGCCAGAGTCCAGCATGGGGAAGGAATGGGTGTGGTTACAAAGGAGCAGCACATGGGACTCCGTCAGTGGGATAACGATTAGCCTGCTGAGAAGGCAGTGACTGACCACTCGTGTGACAGCATGCACACACTCCCACACGCACACAGGCTTTGTGGCTGTGCGAGTTTCTTCTTTTGATGCTGTGTTAAGATGTGAACGCTGGCAAAGCCAGTGCTCAGAGGTTTCCCTTTCATTTCAGTGTAATATTCTATGAATCCTTGATTCCCTCAAAACAGATTCTTAATATTTATTTATTAAAGTTTTTCTAGGCAGGGTTTCTCTGGGTAGCCCTAGCTAACCTGGAACTCACTCTGTAGGCCAGGGTGGTCTCAAAATCACAGAGATCCACCTGCTTCTGCCTTGAAAGTGCTGTGACTTTTAAAATTTAAATATGCATAAAATCTTAATGGGAAAAGGTATAAATTGACATGCTAAGACATTTTAAAATAAAAGTTTAACAGCTTTTCATGAAGTTGCAAAGTTTTTTAACATTTACACAAAAAAGTAAAGGATGAAGAATAGCCTAGAAGCTAGGCATAGTGGTACATGTGTACACTTTCAATCCTAGAGAAAGAGGGGCAAGGAAGATCTCAAGTTCAAGGCCAGCCTAGGCTATGTATCAAAACAAACAAACAGAAAATTAAAATAGCCAAGATGATTATAAAGAAGCCAGAAGACCTTTACACTTAAACATGAGTCTACCCAACAGGCTAGAGCAGCAAGCCAGCGGGAGGCACAAGAGACATGGGAGTCAGCAGTGCTTGGGAAGAGGTTAGAGAAACAAACTAATTAAATCTCAGTAGCTTGGAGACAATCAAAAATATCACAGTTATTTGCCAGACAGTGGTGGCACACGCCTTTAATCCCAGCACTTGGGAGGCAGAGGCAGGCGGATCTCTGTGAATTCGAGTCTAGCATGTTCTAAAGAGCAAATTCCAGGACAGGCTCCAAAGTTACTGAGAACCCTGTCTCACGAAAAAGAAAAAGGGGGGGCTGAAGCAAATAATAAATCAATTACTTTGACATCAATTTTGAAAATAAATCATTTTAATTCTAGTCGAATGATCACTTGATCACATAAACACTAGTTTATTAGAAATGACCTTCTTGTGATTCTTTTGTATTTGTATCAATTTTCATAGTATTCTACATTAGTCGGTAGGGTGGGCTTGACTCACCCAACTCCACTTAAATTAGTAATTAGGTTTTTCCACTCAAGTTAGTAATTCCAATATGGAATTCAACTGTAACACAAGAAATAAAAATCCCAGAGACTGGTATTGGGGTTCAAGCTTAAAGGTGAAGATCAGAAAAGCAAAACAGCCAAGCCACTAGCTCAGCTCAGACCAAAAGGGTGATCCTCAGACTGCTCCCAACTTCACTGCTCCTCAGATTCAGTCAAACTTCTATGCTCTCCTCAATGTAGCTAGAGACTAATCTCAGCCTGAATGCCAGCTGAGACCCTGCTCCTGTCATATATACCTTCCTAAAGACGTGATCCCAGGTGCTGAGATCACCTTTTTGTGAGCTGTTTCTTTTAGGACAGGATCAATTTTGTGTAGACAGTATGGCTTTGAACTAACAGAGATTTGTCTACCTCTTTCTTAATCCTGAGTCCTGGGATTAAAGGTGTGTGCCACCACTGCCTAGTTTCTATAGCTTGAGGCTGGCTTTGCTTTCTGAATCCCTCAGGCAAGCTTTAATAAGTCATAAATAATATATCACCACATTCAACTGAGTGCAAATTACTCTCACAAAACACTAACAATAAATGTATGTAATAAGGCATTTAGAAAAGCAACTTTAGCTATTTAATGCTTTCTAAATAAATATTCAAGATACAATTCATTAACATGCTAAAAACCTTACCCTTTTCAGGCAATTCTGGACCTCTCCCCCTACTTCTGCCCATCCGGTCATTTCTAATTTCACTTCGAGACTCATTTCTAGAATCATTCCTTAGCTCAACTCGAGTACTCTCCTCTCTCATGTGGTTTCTGCTGTAACTGCGGGCTTCTTCTTGGTACACATCCTCCTTCCGGTGACCATCACGAGCATCGCGAACATCACGAGCATCCCGAACATCGCGAGCATCCCGCGCATCGCGAACATCCCGTGCATCGCGCACATCTCGAGCTTCCCGAACTTCACGAACATCTCTAACTTCCCGAACATCCCGGACATCCCGAGTTTCACGGACATCCCGAGCCTCACGGTCTCTATAGTCATGCACATCCCGAGCTGACCGGGAATCTCTAGGATCACGGCTCTCCTTGGTATCTCTGCCATAGTCCCTCAACTCTCTGGAGTCCCGGATGTCTCTGGAGTCTCTCAGTTCCCTACGGTCTCTAGTATCTCTCCGGTCTCGGCTGTCTCGAGGTTCTCTGTCATCCCTGTGGTCGTGCTCAGACTCTCGGTCTTCTCTGGTGTCCTTTTCTCTATCCCTTTTGCCTCGAGTTTCTGTAACAGTTTAAGAAACAACTCTAATTCTGTTTACTGTTTCAGGGAACTAGAGGACACATTTCACACACAACTTTTAAGATTTCATTACAAAAAGAGATTTGCATTTTAAACAGAAAAAGAGAGAATAAAGGTAAATATCAAAATTAAACCAGATGTGGTAACACATGTCAGTAATCTTGGTGATGGGGAGGTTAAAGACAAGAGCTTCCTGGGGTGAGTTGAGGTGCAGTAAGAGAGGGTCTCAAAAATAAGACAGAGTATAAGGAAGATACCTGACAGACGTAGACTCTGGCCTCCACATGCACACATATACACCCAACTGCACATGCATGTGCAAACACAGGCAAAGATGTATGCAGACAGGCAGCACAATGCACAAAACATGCAAAGAGATGAGGGGTATTACTCTAGACAGCATCCAGCCTCAACTGGTAGAGCACATCAGACTGATTTTAAATTCAGGACTTCAGAAAGAAAGCTTCTTTTACCATCTGCCGGGGAATCAGGGTTATGACTGACACATGGGAAAGCTCTAACCCCTGGGCTATACTCCCAACTCTTCTTCATTATGACTTACACCTAGAAATGCCAGGAGTTTACTACATCAACCTTCTGGGAGCGTCCCCGGGCCTGCCTGCTTTATCACACCTTCCCAGAGCTTCTAACCATGGATCAATTATCTGCTGCTTTCCTTCCTTTGACTTTGCTTAGGGTTGTCTGTCTGTCTGTCTGCTCTGTGGTGCTGAGGACTAAACCTTATGATCTCACAAATACTAGACAAGCATTGAGCCAAGTCCCCAGCTCACTCTTCTCCTCGTTTAAAACAAAAAACACTAAGTAGAAAGTAATACATTAACACTCAGATGGCCAAAAGTGCTCATTAAACTAGCCTAGGAGGCACCAACTTACGTACTTCTAAGTGCCTACTTGTGCATACTTAATTATTTTACACACCTGTGTCTAAGCATTGGCTACTGACCCAGTCTGCATGTTACAGAAAACTCAATACACAAACCCACTTCTATTCCTTATGTGATGATGAATATGGGGTACAATTTTAAAATAACGTTCTAGAGCTCTTTGGAAAAGAAAAAGCTCAAATACAGAGTATACCTTCCCTCCTTTCGTGACGCCGATCATGAGACTGTGAAGTCCGTTCATGATCATGCCTCCCTTTGTCTCGCATCGGGGAGCGATGTCTTGGAGGACTCTGCTTTCTCTGAGGTGATGACAGACAATGTGTTGGATAAGGAGAGGCAGAACGACGTAAAGAAGGAGTTAAAGTCCGCTGGTAGGATGGGGAAGGAGTTCTTTTCCGACGAGGAGAAGGAGAGTGTCTCTGAATCGATGATCCTGACTGTGAGGAGGATGAATGATGTCTAGAAGACAGAGGAGAATGGTGCTGTCCTGGGGAGGAAGACCTAGAAGTAAAAACAAGAAACTTGTTTAAAGTTTTCTATTCCAGTAAGAAAAGTCCTCAAAAATAAGATGGGATATAAAGTTAAAGCTGGAAGTATAGGTAATAACCCAGGATAAATTTGAATTCACAAAGCTATAGAATTACAAAGGCATTGGCGTTTAAAGATGTAAGTGATTTACGAGTCAAGTGGAAACAAAAGCTCTAGAAAAAATCTTGGAGATGAACCTACAACCACCACTTTACTAAACTAGAATTATTCCCAACTGTGTTCTAATATTTGTCCTTATACCCTCAAGTGTAACAGATACATTGTCTGTTATGACAGAAGACCACGACCAATCAAATTACAGAGATGTGAAGCCCAGGCCCAACAGATATATTAACAACACAACTCCTGTAATTAACGCTCAAGGATCAGTGCAGAAGGAGTAGAAAAATTTTAAAAGCCAGAGGATCAGGGAGCTTGCTGTGACACTGTATCCCCTAGAAATGTCAGAAGGTAGGCCCATAAAGTCTCACCAACATGACTGTCTAAATATGAGCTGAACAGGGATGATACCAAGAGACATGCTAACATGGACAGGGGTATAGTGGCATCTTGTCACAGCATACAAAAGGACATCCCCCATCACAGGGGTGAGCTCATGAAGGCTCAAACCTAGACGAAGAACTACAGTCAACTAACAAATACTGGAAGCAGGACAAACAGTCTTCCCTAAGAGCACAACAAGTTGTCATCTAATACCAAATGGTCAGCCCTAAAAATATATATACAAGTAACATTATACAGACTAAGAAGGCTGTATTGCATGCACACACACAAACACCAAAGAAAATGAGGTCATGAATTTGAAAGAGCAAGGAAAAGTACATGGGAGGGTTTGGAGAAAGAAAGGGACAGGGAGGAATGATGTGATTATATTATGATCCCCCATATATATATATATGTGTGTGTGTGTGTATATATATATATATATATATATATATATATATATATATATATATAAAATAATGACTGCCACTGAACTTCAGTTCTTAATTTCTTTCTCAGTTACACTTTAAATTGATTCAAAACATCCTCCTAGACTTGGCTTAGATTCTGACAACATGGCTAAATGCACCAAGAAGTTAGAGATCGCTAGGAAATGTGGGACCCGCTATGGTGTCTCCCTCCAGAAAATGGTGAAGAGAATTGAAATCAGCCAGTACCCCAAGCATACTTGCTCCTTCTGTGGCAAGCCCAAGATGAAGAGACGAGTTGTTGCTATCTGGCACTGTGTTCCTGCATGAAAACAATGGCTGATGGAGCCACTGCAACCCAGTCAGGTCTTGCATCAGAAGACTGAAGTAACAGAAAGACTGGTAGAAGTACTATGATTTGAGACATGCCTATCCTGCAATAAACTGTTAAAATTACATCTAAACAATGATTCAAGAGTATCATAATATTCTTTGATGATTGGCTCAAAGAACATACACACAAAAGTCCCAGTTATTCCACAGAATCTTTTAAAAATATCATGTAGTTCATTTTTATTAGATCTTGATGACTAAAAGGAAAACTACAGTTTAAGCCTAAAATAATCAAAACAATAAATCAAAGTCAGAATACTAATCTATCACCAAATAATAGCTTTATTATCTTAACCATATTTTCTTCTCATATATTCTTTTAAGTTTCAGAAAAGTGTTGATTTAAAGATTCTTAGATTTTTCTCTCCTCTACTACTTTAAAAGCCAATTACCAGTCAGGCATGGTAGCCCCTACCTTTAATCTCAGCACTCAGGAGGCAGAGACAGGTGAATCTGTGTGAGTACAAGACCAACTGTGGATAAAGAGTAAGTTCCAGGACAGTCAGAGCTACATAATTGAGAGATACTCTTTCTCTCACTCTTAAAAAAAAAAAAGTCAATGACTAAGAATAGTGAAAACAAAAAGACTACAGATCAAGACAGGAAGTGGCAGCTATGTTACGAGCCTAACTGGACCCTAATCTCCACACACACTGTTTATAATAAAGGTGTGCACTGATAATGAAGCTGGCTTACTCTAAAATATAGTAGAAATACATTAGCATTTCTACTATAGAAAATAGGAGGTAAGATTCTACCTAATTTTACAGCATAATTCATATAGTAAATCCAAAGTTTCTGACATTCTGGTAGAAAAACGGAGTGTTCATATTCTTCTGAACATTTTAGCTTAGCTTTAGGAAGAATCCCTTCATTTGGTCCTGACTTGAATCCAATGAAGTGCATTATGAATATTTTGCAGCTGAAAATGTCAGAGACCAAGTAACTTGTTTAGGATTTTTGTATCAAAGCAGAGTCAACTAAAATGTTTGCCCTGATTGTATAACTTCAAAATTCTGATTACATTAAAATTCAAAAAGACTGGCCATGGACTCGAGAAAGCCACAAGCCACACCTGTCACTGCAAATGAGAGCTGCATCCTTCCCTGTGCCTTCCTCTCCTTTAGTTCCTGTATTCAAACCCTTCTTTAGGGGGGGTGCATGAGAAGGCCAAAGCAGGATGTCAAGTAACTTCTCTGTCAATCCCTGCCTTATCGCCTTAAGACAGGTTCTCTCACTGAGCTACAAGGTCAGGAGGTCAGCTAGGCTGGCCGACCAGCTAGCTCTCAGGACCCTCTGTTCCCACCACACAATGGTGGGGCTACAGACATGTGTGACCATGCTTGGCTTCTTGTTGGCACGTGAGAATTGAACTCAGGTTCTCCTGTTTACAGACCACCAACCCATCTCCCTACTTCCTTAAAATCTTTACAAATTCCAACTGTCTGAGAAAGAGGAAGGAAGGAAAAAAAGAAAGAAAGAAACTGAGATCCCTGTAAGGAATTACACTTTTTCAAAAGAAGCATTAAATTTACAGAAGAATTCATCTGAAAACTGATCAAGAATGAATCTGTCTCTCATCAAAGTTGTAGTTCACAAATCTTATAAACAAGGAAGAAAATGAATACATATACAAAAATCTTTAACAAACTTCTAGAAAAGTAATTTGAACAGCATATTAAAGGGACATACATACCATGACCACATGGATTTATTCCTTGAATGGAAGGGTAGTGGAACAATTTGAAAAATGACTAACAAAATATACCATATTAATTAAAAGAAAAAAAACAATCACTCAAGCATACTAACTTAGAAAAAAACACTGACAAAACTCAACAGCATTTAATACTACTCAGCAGAGCTGAGCAGGGTAGTACATGCCTTTAATCGCAGCACTTAGAAGGCAAAGTTTAAGGCCTCTGTAAGTTCCAGGTTACCCTATCTACATAGCAAATTCCAAGCCAGCAAGAGTCTCTGACCCTGCTTGAAATGACAATAATCAATAAGCCATTTATGAAAAGTCCACAGTTAACATACCACTTAACAGAGAAAGACAGAAACTTTTCCTATAAGACAAGGACCACAGCAAGAGTGCTCTTTCTATTCAACACTGTTTGCAAAACCTTAGAGCAATTAGGCTAGAAAAATAAATAATCATCATCAAAATGGGAAAGAAAAGAGTAAAAATATTTGTAGATGACAGTATCTTCCATGTAGGAAACCTAGATTCTACAAAAACAAAACAAAATCCTTAGAATGAGTTCAATAAAGCTTTAGGAGAAATAACACAAAATGTCAGCTACATTTCTGCACATTATACAATGAACAAACTAAAAAGGAAATTAAGAAAATATATTTATAGTACATCAAAACAAATACTTAGGAGTATCTAAGCAAGGTGGCAAAAGACTGCTAAAAGAAACTCAGATCAGAAACAAGTAGGAAACATTTGCACGTATGGAATAGAGATTTTAAGCTACCCACACTATGAAAGCAATCTACAGCCAATGCCTTTTATAATGCCAATAGCTTTTTTTTTTATTTTTACAAGAGAAATTTTTTATCCTAAAAGTTATATGGAAACCTAGGGGAGCTCAAATGGCCAAAATAATTTTGTAAAAGATTGAAGCTGGAGGTTTCACTCTTTCAGAATTCAAAACATAGTACAAAGATATACTTAAAAAGCACAACATTGCTGGGCGTTGGTAGTGTTCGCCTTTAATCCCAGCACACAGGAGGCAGAGGCAGACGGATTTCTGTCAGTTCGAGACCAGCCTGGTCTACAGAGCGAGTTCCAGGACAGGCTCCAAAACAATACAGAGAAACCCTGTCTCGAAAAACCAAAAAAAAAAAACCAAAAAAAAAAAAAAAAGCACAACATTGTATTTATAGTAACCATCCTAACAAATGAGTATTATATCATACACATGCATTTGCACATGGGAGCACATACAAAACCATGCAGTGAAATGCCTCAAACATATGCTCAAATGACCTTCCACAAGGTTAAAGAGGAAAGAACAAATTCAACAAATGTGATGGCAAACTAAATCTCTACACGACCTTTCAAATGCACACACCAAAACAATATAACCCTCAAAAGAAAACAGTAGAAAAATTTTTATGTACTGGACTTGGCAGGGATTTCCTGAAGAGAAGCAAACATTCTCCATGAAGGAGTGAGTAAACAAAGTATGACTTGCACCATATGAAATATTACTCAGCCTTATAAAGAAAATTCTGCCACATGCTACAATATGGATGAGCTTTTCAGACATTATACTAAATGAAATATTGCATGATTCCATTTACGAGGAATTGAAAGCCATTAAATTCACAGAATCACTAGAATGATGTGTAGGAGAGTACTGTGTGATGAATGCAGCTTCAGATGTACTGAATGACATCCTGGAGATCTGTCTCACACTGTCATCCATACATGTAATTATATACATCCAATATGGTTACTTAAAGTAAATACACTAAAATAATTTGATGTTAAATTATAACTCATAACTCACTGTAATAATACACATGATTCAAAACAATAATAATTTAAAGAAGCCATCCGCCTACCCCCCACAGCTTCTGCAGTCAGGAGTCTTGGTTTCACATAAATATTGACTAAACAATACTACTTACCTTGGCTTGTCTCTTTTTTCTCTTTGCCTTTCAAAATCCCGTCCTCTGTCCTTTCCATCTCTTGGTTTTTCTTCTATCCTGTCTTTCACTTTATACTTTTCTTTGTATTTTTTCCCCAGAATGATATCTTCTAGTATAGGAGGAGGTGGACTAGGAGTACGTGGACCTTTCTTTTTACTTTGGTTGCTTTTTGAAGTCCTGAAGGTACACAAAGCTATAGTTAGAGGTCTCACTATTTCTGGAAACACACCTGGATGATTTTAAAGTGCTTTTTAAAGGCAGCAACATTCTTTTCAATTACTTGTCCTTTTACTATGCTATAGTAATAACCAATATCCAGGGAAAAAGTGAGAAGGAGCAAAGAGTTTATTTACTCTTTATTTTTGGAAACAATGTTAGTTGTATCATTCCAAACTGTTTCTAAGAGACGTTAGGAACAGCGGAAGAGTTTCAGGAAAAGACAACATTATAAAAATAAGTGCTAAAGTTGCATCTTTTATAGCTCATATAGAAACACAGATGAAAAAGATAAGCATCACTAGCTGTGGTGACACATGCCTGTAATCCCAGCACCTGAGTGCCATGGTGAGGCATGCCTGTAACCCCAGCATTAGGGTGACTACAGAAAGACAGCTATGAATTCAAGGCCATCCTGTGCTTCACAGAATACTAGGTCAGCCATGACCATAGAGCAAGACCCTGTCTCAAAATACTCTCCCAAATACAAAAGGAAAAACACTACACCAACTAAACTATTATAGAGACCTTTAACACACTTCAGAACTTTTGTGTCTCTTCCTTTTTAATAGCTAGTCATTTAAAACCAGATATCCATGTACAAAAAAATGAGGCTCAGCTTGTATCATATACGGAAATTAATTCAAATTGTATCAAAGAAGAAAACATACAATCCAAAATTTACAATTCCTAGAAGAAAACATGAAGGATAACACTTTACTTGGCAATGATTTCTTGGTCACAATGTCTGTGTTGCAGAAAAGCAACAGATGTGACTATAGCAAGCAACCTCCAGTTGCTTCTACCAGAATCTCAAATTTGTCTTCGAGCTGAATATTTTAAGTCACAACCATTCTACTAATTCCATATTTAACAATCTCAGTGCAGATGAAAATATTTTCTCCCAAAAATGTCTTTACATAGATTTTTTCCAGCTGTTAAAAAAAAAAGCCTGTCAATGCAATATTCTTATGAATGTCTCTAAACTTACTCCTGTTTTCTGGTGGATACTTTTGAATATGCCATCTGCTCTTAGGATTTTAAGGAGCCCCTTATCTTATACTTGTAGTGAGGTTTCATTGAAACTTATTTTATATGACCTTGAATTTTCTGCAGTTCAAGATTCATTGAATATATTATTATAATGGAAAGCATAGTTCTCAGAATTCCTGGTAAGATTTTTAAGAAAATTAAAAGCATAAGAGCATTTGACTCGTGGTTAGCCTTTAGAAAACTGAGCTCTCTTGATCCATATCCCTCTGTATTAACGTAGAGAGGGAACAGCTGCTCACGTAACAGATTCTTAAAATCTGATGACCCAATCTTTGCATCCTTGTCTTCCACTAACAACTATAATAACCATAAATCTCAATACATTATTTATGAGATTATAGAAACCCCTTATGTACAATATGATTATAAATGTCACTTTTTAAACTTTTGCCCACTTTAAAGAGTAACTAGATAATACTTATCATTCATGCTTAGATTTTTAAAGATGATTATAAGGAAGAATACCTCAAAAACTTATTTCTCCATTACTCCACATAATAGAGACAAGCTGGATGTTTACCAGTGTTCCTCCTGGCCCAGAACTGAACCATACTCTCTACAGTACAGTTCTCTGAAATGACACTTCAAGGATTTCCATATACCAGGCTACTGTATACCACAGAACTAAATAAGTTCAGTATCCAGTTATTTCCCTTATACACTTCATTCTCTCAATTTCTTTGAAAGTCCAAGAAAATTTCAACATCATCAGTGGGTGCATATTTGCCCACATGTGTCACCCCTGTGAAGGCTGCCCACCTCCTTTGCCATGGGGTCCCTCATTTGCCTGTAGCCCACTGATTATGCTAGACTGGTTGGCCAGTTAGCTTCAGGAATCCTTCATATCTCTGACTCCACAGCCAGGGACTACAAGTACACGCCTCTATGCCTGTCTGTTTCTGTGGGTTCTGGAGATCAAACTCAAGTCTTCATGTTTGCAAGCCAGCACTTTAGTGACTGGACCATCTCCACAGTCCAGAAACATCCATTTTGATTCTATATGCCTGAGAAAGTGCTCCTGTGCTAAATGACTAACATCTTAGGATTTAGCTATTACCATAACCAGAAATGTCTTAAAGAATTGAATAAAATAATGATGGGGGAAGTCCTTCTGTGTATATGTTGTCCATTAATTGATAAATAAAACACTGTTGGCCAATAGGGAAGCAAGATAGGTGGGACTAGGACTTGAGGATTCTGGGAAATGTAGTCAAGGGTGGAGGGTCGCATGAGGCTGTGTCCTTGGTAAGATAAGACCTTATAAAAATATATATTAGCAGTTATGGGTTAATAATTAAGTCAAAGCTAGCCATTAAGAAACCATAGCAAACGGCCAACAGCTTCATAATTAATATAGTGTCTTGTGTGTTATTTGGGGGCAGAAACAGTGGTGTGATCCAGCAGCTGGTGGGAAAGAATCACGTTACAAAAAAAAAGGGCAGTATTAATGTGTAAGTGTGAGAAGTGTATGTGTATATGAAATGGCTATAGAAGAGGTAATGGATTTCTGAGAGGATATAGAAATTGGAGGGGGAAAAGGAGATATGGTACAAATACAGTACACTTGTATATGAAATCCTCAAATTTAAAAGTAATAAAGTTGGAATTTCTTCATATTGCCTATAAAAACACAGGGTTGGAAAACAAAATTCTATTATACTGCATTGTTTTCCAAATGAAGGGACTGAGCTCAGCAAGATCCTTCACCATTTTAAAGTCTATTGGTTATTCTTTTAGCAACATTAAATCAATATACTTTCTACTCATGGCATAGAGCCCACAATGTCTACTTTTTTCATTTTTACATCACTCTGTAACTATTTTTAAACAACTTTAAACACACTTTATGTTTCTCTTTATAAAAGTATCTATACAGAAAACACCTAGTTTAAAAAAGCAAATGATCAAAACAGAGAATGCATTTGATTATAAATCACATTGTAATACACATCTCCAGGTATTATCATACTGGACCTTAGAATGAGCATCAAAGAAAGACTTCAGCTTTCAGAGAAAAGTATGATTTAATTTGCCAGTAATTACATCTGTCTATTATGCTGCCCTAAAAAGATCAATGACTCTGTCTGTCATTCAGTCTAGCATTGGCTGAAACAGCCTATTCGATTTTAACAGAAAGTCCAATCACTGAGTTTAATATGTCTTCCAACAGTTACAGCATGGCTCAGCAACAGTTACAGATGTAGCTCAGAGATACAATGATTATGTAGCACATCCAAAGCCCTCCAATAATTGTTAGGAACACAGACATGCACATGTACAAACTGACTATCTGACAGAGTCAAGGCAATGTAATACTATACAAAGGCTGACAAGGTAACTCAGCAGGTAAAGTACCTCCTGCATAAGCACGATGAGTTTGATCCTAAGGGCCCATGTGACAGAAGGAGACAAACAACTAGCAAAAGTTGAAAGTGGTCCTCTGACCACCAAGTGCTTAACATGCTGTGGTATGAGCATGCCCACTCTCCCAAACATAGTAATGATAAAAATTAAAAATAAACACTATATTTGTGCAGGATGATCCCACCACTTGGGAGATGGGGTAAGACCTGATACCAATTCAAGAAAGCTTCAGAGATGAGTGTGAGCTACATAAGACTATGTCATTAAAAAGAAATCTATACTTAATTTAGTGCTTTCCTTGTAATTTTATAATGTACTGTTTTACAGAACCATCTGCTATATATTTTAAAGGTATATCTTAAGAGCAGCAATATACTGGAATATAGGAAATATAGTACTTAAAACAATGTGATGAAATTCAAATTAATCAAAAGATGAGCTAATAATAAATAATAAAAGCTTATATGAAACAGGATAAAATCAACCCTTTATAACTAAGTAGCTATTAATAATTCTATGAGGAAATAAACTTCAAAGAATGCATAAGCAGAAAGTAAGAAAATGCAGGCTGCTGGGTGATATAATAGACTGCACAAATTGACGAGCTGAGGGAAGCCGTAAAGAAGAATGAGTCAGAGCAACTCACACCCCTCACAATATCACTCAATCCCAGGAACAAAGAGGATCCAAGAGCGCTTGTTTCAAAGCCAAAGCTCTAAGCAAAGGAGGAGCCGTGGGAAGACAGAATAATGAACCATCAACAACGAATTTTCAAGAAGCTTAAATTTAATAGGGGTTGTAAAACACATGTGCCATAGCTGAAATATAATGCAAACATCAAATAAGATGAAAAGGAATCTACATAAATTCTGATAGGGGAAAGAAATTATATAGAGGAAGGAAAAATGGGGAGACCTAATAGAAAATTTAGAAGTTGAGCTAAAGCCTGCAGGATTGCATACTGAGAACTAAGCAGACAGGACAGAATTAAATAAAAATATTGACAAATATTGACAAGGCAGAAAAGGTCAAAGCATAAATGTCATTTTTAAGGAATTCTTAAGTTTCCGGCGGACAAAGCAACCACGAGTCTGATGAGATTGTTGTCCATTCCCGTCCCATGCAGGGGCAGAGGTGAGCTCCGCTTCTGCTCGCCCACTCTGGGATCTCCTGGCCTGAGGACTGAAGACAGGTCAACTTGCCCACAGCTGGCCAAGCAACCACAAGCTTGCTAATGGCACTGTGCTAATCCAGCTCCCATCCACTGGGAGAGGGACTGCCTCAGAGCTGCCTGCACCCACTATGAGACCCATCCCAGTACTGAACCTGCTTGCACCCACTGGAAGACAACCGTGGACCCATACCCACCAGGAGAGGAAGAGACCCCACCTGTCAACTCGCTCCTGGTGGACCAAGCAACCATAAGCCTGCTGAGATTGCTGGTCTACTCCTGCCCCCACTCAGAGCAGAGGTGAGCCTCGGCCCTCACCTAGGGCCCCACTTCTGCTTGCCCACGCTGGGATCTCCTGGCCTGGGACTGTAGGCAGGTCAACACGCCACCAGCGAGCCAAGCAACCATAAGTCTGCACTGTGTTAATCCAGCTCCCACCCACCAGGAGAGGGAGTGCTTCAGACCCTCCCACATCCACTGTGAGACCCATCAGAGTACTGGACCTGCTTGTACCTCTACCCAGCAGGAGAAGAAAAGACCCCACCTGTACCCACGGGCAGAAGGGATGGGAAGACGACAATATAAGAACACACTCAACAACAGAAAATCTAATATGACGCCACCAGAGTCTAGGGACTCTACACCCAGCAAGACCTGAACATCCCAACACAGATGAAGCAGAAGAACGACCTTAAAAAATAAACTTCATGAAGATGATAGAGACCCTAAGAGAGGAAATGAGAAAATCCTTTAAATAAATGGAAGAAAAGACAAACCAAAAATTACAAGAAATAATTCATACAGTACAAGGTTTGAAAGCTGAAATAGAGACAATTTTAAAAAAGTCTTAAGGAATGCTGGAATTAGAAAAGGTGGGAAAACGATCAGAAACTACAGATGCAAGCATAACCAACAGAATACAAGAGTTGGAAGAGAATCTCAGGTGTTGATACACTAGGACAAATAGATTCATCAACCAAAGAAAATCTAAAGTCCAACAAATCCCTAACACAAAATATCTGGTAAATATGGGACACCATGAAAAGACCAAAGTTAAAAACAATAGGTATAGAAGATGAAGAAACCCAACTCAAAGGTGCAGAAAACATATTCGACAAAATCATAGAAGAAAAGTTTCCCAACCTAAAGAAAGACGTGCCAAAGTACAAGAAGCCTACAGAACACCAAATAGAGTGAACCACAAAAAAAGATCACCTTGCACATAATAATTAAATAATAAATAATTAAAACACCAAACATACAGAATAAAGAAAGAATAGTAAAAGCAGCAAAGGAAAAAGGCCAACTAACATATACAGGCAAACCTATCAGAACCACACCTGATTTCTCCATGGAAACTCTGAAAGCCAGAAGGTCCTGGATAGACATTCTACAAACACTAAAAGACCACAGATTCCAGTCCAGACTACTATATCCGGCAGAGCTTTCAATCACTATAGATGGAGAAAACAAGATATTCCTCAACAAAACCAGATTTAAACAATACATATCCACCAATCCAGCCCTACAGAAAGTACTGGAAGGAACCCCTCCCCCCAAACCTAAGGAAGTTTCATTTTGAGAAAAGAAAATGAGTTTACAATAGCATAAAATTTAACTGGCATTGTTCTTTTAAGATTTCTCTTACAGCATCTATAAAACAGATGGTTTGAAGTATCTAAGAGAAAATATTATACCCTGTTCAGAGGTGGGCACCACATTACATAGGCAAAGTCTGAGTCATGGTCTGAAAGCAGGAGATAACATGAGCTTTATCGTGGGTTCAGCCAAACAGGATTTGCCAAATAGTCTACATCAGGGCATGATTTTAATAAAAAAAATTAAAAATTAGTATATTAGCTTAATTCAAACTTATATAGTAGAGGGATATTTATATGTCTCCTGTCTTGCTCTTAGTCCTTAATATAGTATTTCATTATACCTACTTTTATTTCTTTAGCTGACTGTGGGGATCACAGACCCTGGCCGGAAACCCACTCTTCCATCAGCCTGGAAGCAGGCAGCTGCTAGACAATGTTTACTGAAAACATGTTTACTGAAAACAATTCAGTGCCATAAGCTCTTGATAAGGGCTTGCTCACTGAAACACCCTGACTTTGATCTTCCAGATGGCTAACCACCTCCTGCTCCCTGCTGTTCCTGATTCTGGTATCAGAGATTTAACCACCAGCCAGGAGGGGAAAAGAGAGGTGTTGAGATTTGTGCGTGTATGGATGGCAGAAGTTTTTCTGGAGGGAAGCGGTTTTCTTGGGAAGTTCTCCTAAGCCGATTTGGGGAGCATAAAGTTTTCTTAATGCAACCGACTGGTCTCTGTGTCATCTATCCCAACGCCCTCGCCACATTCTCGGATACAGGCTGTGCAGGAGGCGCGGCAGCTGACTGCTATATCAGATACACAATACATATAACCAATGCACATAACGCTGAGTGCATACTTTAAAACTTCTAATCTTCTGACAAGTAAAGAAAGAAATGAGAAGAACATTCCCTGCATAAATTACTAATGCTTAAAAACTGAAAACAAAAATGTTGGACAACAGAGAGATAAATAATATGTACTAAAAATACTAAAAGCTAAAAATGTTAAGGAAAAAAGCAATATGAACAAAACAAAGAAAGTTGCAGGATATATTTGTGTTCCAATTCAAAATACACAAAAATAGTACTTACTCTGCAAAAATGATACATAGTGCCTAAAGAATAAAAAACATAGGTATACATATCACACACAAAAAAATCCCAGAGTGAGAAAGCTCTAGTGTATAGATGTGACATGGATCTTTGTTTCATGGTCTCTACAACCCTAAGAAGAAAAGGGGTTAGACTAATATATCAGAATCACCTTCTATAACAAGGTTAAGTAGTTTTGTTAGCAACACTGCAGAAACATCCTATTCTCCAGCACTGCAATCACCCTACTGACCTCTGCTGGTCCAGCAGTGGGGAAGCCACCACAGCAGCCTTCCTCTCTTTCTTGCCAGCTGAAGATGCCTTGGGGCTTGACTTCCGCTTTGGCGATTTACTGGACTTTCTCAGAGAAGGCGATGGAGACAATTTTGATCTAACAACTTCTGGGGAAACCTGTCAATGTAATTTAGTAAGTCAGTTTAGAAGCTCATGGAACAAAAAGCAAACAAAAAAGTACATATTTTAAAGTAGTCAAGGAGGAAAAAAAAGTTAAAAACCTGAGTAAGAATTAAAAACTAGAGCAGTTCTATTCATTGATGAGTCCAACTCCAGAATCCATGCTTTTAATTTATATCTTAGCTAAATAGCCCTAACAGACAGACACCAAGAAAAGACATTTTAAAGTTAAAAATTTAAGCTTTCCTCAGGAAAACTAGAAATTATTTTCAAATGAATTCTATTTCCATACAGAAAAGTGGACAGAGCCATCTAGAAACAGTGCGTGCCTGACATGTACATCAGGCTGACACGTACAGGCAGTGGAGTGTCAGTTTGGTTCAACAGCAAAAACATTTCTAACTTAAAAAGTCATGTAAAGATTGAATGATTAATCTTTTACGGTGTAGCTGATATGTGGGAAGCTGAACAATTTACCACTGTGTTAGTATAAGTAGGTAGGCTACAGCATGGAACTCATCTGTGAACAATATCCATGTCTATGTTAATAACACATTCACTTCAATACACATACCTCCTTTTGAATGATAATTTCTTCCCTCTTATCCATGTTTTCTTGTTCCAACTTCATTAATTCTCTCTGTATTTTCTGACGCTTCATTTCCAATGACAACTCATGAACATAATCATAATTAATATCTCCATTGTCAGAATCTTCAAAATACAAATTCCATTATTTATGAGACACTATTATAATTATGTGTAGGGAATTAGACTTTCCAGCTAATTTTTATAGAACTTTTAACAGTGTATTCTTTGTTAGAATAATACTTCTATGAAGAACTTACTTCCTCCTGAAACTCTAATACTAAGGTACTTTCAGAAAGTGACTTATGGTTATCAGATGTTCGGGATTTTGTTACAAGGGATTTTTAACAGCTAGAATTCAAGCTGGGATCTAGCACTGGTATTTACACTGTTTATGGCATGGCCTTGAGGCCCAGCACTAAATAAAAAGGATAAAAGCAAAACAAAAGTCACAAGTACTCAGCTCTCCCCCTTCCCCCACACACACCAAAGCCTTCCACAGTTCATACAGGATAAAATGACCTCTGTCCTTACTAGACTCTTTACTAAGGTAAGGTTAAGCCAGGTGTTTGGAACATTAATTCTCCAGTTCTGTCCTTTTTATTGTGAGACTACTGATTTGTATCTAAAAAGAAATTTCTAACACTAATATGTGCTAATTTTGTTTAGTTTCTCTAGGTAAGAGTACTGGCTATCCTGGAACTTGCTTTGTAGATCAGGCTAGCCTTGAATTTATACAGATCCGCCAGCCTCTCCCTCTCAAGTGCTGGGATTAAAGATCAGTCACCATGTCTGGTCTGGTCCCTGTGCTAGCATTTTCATTCCAATTTACTTAAATTATCATTTTATATAAGAGCCAACCATTCATCCAACTGGTCTTTCATGTCCAGTCTTTTCTGACGAGAAAGATGAGGACTGGTTTTGTTTGTTTTTAAAAGAAGAGTAGGGGGAGAAAGACTCTACTATAAAAATCTTCTATTACAGTATGCAGTAGGTCTCAGTAGTTACTGGCACTCAATACCTTGTCCAAGAAACCTGGAGGAAGGAATCCATTGACTTCCAGGCTAATCCTTGACCATATTTGGCTTGGCTATAAGCCAATGTGCTTCTTCTACACCTTTAGCACTTTAGAACGTTTGTCACCCAGAGGTAAATAAATAAAATAAAATAAATTTTTAAAAAAAATCACTAAATGTAGTCCCGCTTGATTACTTTAAACACAAGAAAATAAGTACCATTTCTGTGCATAGTTCAAACGCATTACACCTCCAACCGTCCATCCTAGCCTGGTGTGGGGCTAGTAACTATATGTTGACTACCTGAGTGACTGATTACGCAGCATATGTATGGAATATGATTCTAAGTCATTGGGAAAATACTATATTTGATGATAACAGTATATTTAACACAGCAGGAAAAGTTAAAATATATAACAAAAAAGATGTCAACACAATAAAGAAAGGTTGACATTATTTAAATAAATTCTTATTAACTAATGGAAAAGAAATTGAGGACATGGACAAAGCAATTCACACAAACAAAAAGATATAAATGACACAAATAAGTCTTCTATGTGTATTGTTGAACATTTTAATTACAGCATTTTTTTGGTAAGACACAAGTAGGCGTCTAGTAGTAGAATGAAATTTAGTACATCTAGCCCATAAAATGATTTACTAATATGGGTACAAGTCTTAAGAACACTCATATTCTTTAATATATCAAAAATTGTTTCTATTTATTATCTCGAAATAGGTCTTAAGAACTATAAGAAGGATTAAAGACTAAATTTCAGATTTCCTTTTTTTATGACACCATCTCACTTAAAGTCTTAAGCAAATCTGAGTACAAAGCAAAATATGAAATTCCTTTTAGACCCCCTCCATGGCCATCCTCATACTGTCACCATTGCTGACAGCTTAGTGTTGCGCACATAAAATTCTCATTGCAGCATACTGTCTCATACTTGTCAATCCAGCACTGGGAAGGCTGAGGCAGGGTTATGAGTTTGAGGCCAGGCTGAACTACACAAGATCTTGTATCAAAATGAAGAAAAGAACAAAACTACAAATACTGCCATATACACAAGATCTCTCCATGTCACACACACAGCTCAACTATCTTCACTGTAGAATCTGCAAAGCATTTCATAAGTTAGCACACTATGGCTTACATGGTCAGTTTCCTACTAAGGGATGCCATGCCTTGCTTGCTACACACAGGGCTGCAACAGTTATTGCCTTGATTCAGGAGTGAAGGTATTTCTCTATGAAGTTTCTCAAACTAGGTTTGCTAGAATCCAACATATAATTTGTTTTTACTATGGCCAAACTGGACACACAAACAACTTTACCAATGGAAACTACCACTTAAAAACATCAGTATTTTTCATTTCTGTGAAACTGATGGGTAGACAATTCTACCTTTGCTTTTATGAGCCATACGCTGCAGTAAAAGCTGAACAGCGATGAACCATTTCTAGTTCTTAGGTATCATCCATTTAAAATTTTGTTAATATCTGTGACAGTTCATTATGTGCTTATGTATCTTTATTAATGCTTACATATGTCAAATATTTTCTTCTGGTATAACATCTGCTTTTAATTTCTTCATTTAGTTATAAAACCATTTTTAATTCTTGTGTACTGAAGTCTTTTGTGGCTTTGGGGTTTTACAGTTTATTTTAGGAAAATGAATCTCTCTCCAAGATTACCAAAGTACTTTCATGTATTTTCTTCTCCTGTAATGAATGATATGTTTATTTTTTTATGTTGTTCTACATGATGAATAAATAAGGGAAGAATTAGGAAACAAGAAGGAAAAAAACACAACCATCATGGAAAAGGGAGCATGGCAGCAGGCAGGCATGGCGCTGGGGCAGTAGCAGAGAGCTCACATCCGTATCCACAAGTTGGAGGCAGAGAAAGCCCACCCTCAGTGACACCTCCTCCAAAAAGGCCACATCTCCTAATCCTTCCCAAATAGTTCCACCAATGGAGACCAAGCATTCAAATATATAAGCGCATGGGTCGTTCTCATTCAATACCCCTCTCCATACTCCCAGAAGAGAGCATATAAGAAATGCACTCAATTGATGAGAAAGGAGGAAATCAGCTTCAATGGAATATGTTGACTTTATATAGTAGTAGAAAAACCTCTTACATAGAATGAAAGAGAAATAAATCCTTCAATATATTAAATAATTTGTCAACTACCAAGTGGTTATTATACCTTTCCTGTTATAGAAGAGGTATTATAAAATTTCAGTGAATCAATCATAAGAAAATTTCTGAATGTTTTTGGAAACAACTTTTTAATAGACAGCACTGGTGATTTTCTCAGTAAGTAGTGATTTTCTAATCACGGAGGTCATTACGTACTTTTCCATCTTAGTCTAGCAGCATCCTCAGACAGCGTTCTGAAGCCCAGTCATAAGCACTTTAGTCTTGTAAATTCTTAGTCCTTGTCACAGGACTCAAAAGCAGTATGTAACCAAATGGGCAGGGCTTGTGCTCAGATGCAAGCTTCCCTGCAGTCACAGGCAACACCTGTCTGCTTTCAGCTTACGCTGCAAAGATACTCAAGTTCTTAAAGCCAAAATTCTTAGGTGAAGATATAAGTCATACTAAAATGAATTCAGCAAATGTTGATTCCTTGGTTAGAGTGCTCACTCACCAGAACATCAAAGAGTGGACTGATTTCTATGGTGCTTATTTGGCAAAACAATGAGTCAAAGATGATTTTTCTAATTTTCATAAATAAATTCAGGATTCAATTATTATGTAACTTCACTTACTTCTGAAAACTTAAAGCCAACAATTTCTTGAAAATAACTTTAACAATCTGGTTTAAATTATCTTATGTAAAAATTTAGAGTAGATCTAAATTTTTAAAACTTAGTATTGCAGAATTTTGAACTTACAAGAAGAAAATCCCAAAAAATACAATAAAGTTCTGGAAGCAGGGGAGAAAGAATGAGCAAGTTGAAGTAGGTAGTATTTTCTGCCCCTGAACTGCTACTATACACCTGTTTCTGCCTGACAACTGAGTTCTAATCAACAGGACAATCTGAAACAATGTGAAGATCACAGTTGAAAGGTATCTCAAAACCCACAGTAGGCCAGTAAATAATGAAGATTCTATAAGCCAAGCAAAGATTTTCAAACTCACCGTCTCTGTTAGTCTCCCATTCTACATTTTCTTCTTCACTTTCTGGAGTTCTCTCCTTAACAATTTTTATGTCTTCCTTATCTCTATGTCTCCCTCTTGAGGATTCCTTCTAAAAAGGATAATGCACACACTCAGGTTACCATACATTTAAGATGGTATGAGGTCATTACTGAGTACACAGCACTTCATTTCACTCGGCTTTGCTTCTGGAGGAGGAGCGTTTGTAAGTGTCATTATCTACAAACTCTAGTACAGCCACATGAAGAGAATTTATTTATTAAAGAACAGATATATGATAAATGTAAAAAGTAGCTCAGACATTTTAAAAATGCAAAGAAACCCAATACCTTGATGTTCTGCTCCACACTAAGCTTCTATGTGAAAGTCCACAGGTTAAAGACCAGTTTAAAATAGATAAAGTTCAACGGAAAGATTAGTTAAGTAACCACATATAAACTCCAACCTTAAAAGACTAAACCATTGAGCAGACTCTTAAAATAAATTACAGCTACTTTGCTATATTCCAGAGGATGTATTCAAATTCATTTTAATAATCTTACAAAAGGCTTTTTAAACAACTTATTTTGGTTAAAGCAAATGATATTTCACATAATTAATGTACTAATCCTTAATAAAGATAGGGGGGAATCTGATGGAAAATATCTAAATAATTTCAAGAAAGGGAGTTTATACAGTCCATCAAAGAAATAATTCATTAAGTGGCATTTATTAAAATAGAAAAGTATATACTAGTAAAGATACTGTCAAGAGAATGAGAAAACAAATTTTAAAGCCGAGAAAAAAAACTTTACAAAAGACAGCTGCAAACATACAAAGTGTGTTATCTAAAATACAGAAAGAACACTTAAGAGTCAACAACACAAACACCTGATTAAAAGAAAAGTGTGTCACCAAAATGAAGACATCTAGATGACAGACAAGTATATGAAAAGATGTTCAACATGGAAGGTCACTGTGGAAATTATAGAGAATAAAAAAGTTCATACTAGGCACATGTTTCTGAAAAGACAAAATTCCATATAATGATAGCACTAAATGCCAGTAAGCTGTGGGCAGCAGAGCTCATTCACTATCAGTGGGCATGCAAGACGAAAATTCAGAGAACTGTTTGGCAAAGGCAGGTTTTATTGGGAGGGGGTCTATTTTCTCCCCGCTGATCCCTGCCGTGTGTGTGTGTGTGTGTGTGTGTGTGTGTGTGTGTGTGTGTGTGTGTGTGTGAGAGAGAGAGAGAGAGAGAGAGAGAGAGAGAGAGAGAGAGAGAGAGAGAGAGAGAGAGATTTAGTGAGGACTGTATCAGGTAGCACATAGGCTCCCCTAGCCACTCCATTCTTTTGTTTTCTTAAACAGGGTCTCACTAAGTTACCTAGACAGGACATGAACTTACCACCCCCTTGCCTTACTTAGCCTTCCCAAGAAGTTTGTGTTAAAATCCTGTGTTGTCAGGCTGGGCTAAACTACTTTCATCCACTACTATAACCAAGAGCCTTCCTTCCTTTCTTTTCTTTTAATTATTTTCCACACAAATCCAGCATCAACACTCCCTGGTTTTTAACCAAAGCCCTGTGTCTACATAAAAATCAGCACAAAATATCTGCAGAGGACTACTTATAATTGTCAAAACTGGGAGACAATCAGGACACCTCCACTGAACAAATGGTTAAATAGACTGTGGACATCAGTAATGATGGTTCACAGATAGTCACAGCTGCCACTCTGGTGGGTACTGACTGGCAGAAAGGCCACACAGCTCAAGTGAGACACAGCAGTCAGGTAGTCAAGTTTCATGTACACATTACATGAAATACAAATAAATTTCATATTGAGACAGAGCTGCCATCACCAAAATAGGTCATTATGTATAAGCAACTATCCTAAAATCTGGGGGGGACCCTAAAATTTGAGACATTTCTGGTTGCCAGCACTTTCAGATAAATCATATTCAACCTTTATCCCCAAAATGTGGAGACTGAGAAATAGAGAAGAGACTGACAAGGGATAGGGGTGATGGAAGAGATATGCATAGAGCTCACAGAAAAATCACATTTAAGGTATATAAGGATCCCTAAACTTCACAAAAGAAACATAAAAACTAACCCAACACACCATCAGTTCCCCTATCTTGCTGGAGAAACAATTATGCCAATACACACCAAAAAAGCAAAGGCAAACAAACAGGTACCGCACACACCAGCAACAACACAACACTGCCCAGCCTCATCAGCCTTTACCCTCTGGCATAGCAGCCCTATTTCCTCAGATGTGTCTTGCTCTAAGACACAGTAAAAAAATGTAACAAGTACAACAGGAGCAACATTGAAATAACCTAAATCCCCATGCACGGAAGACATGGTCTAGTCAAACAATGAAACACCACGTAACTAGGAAATAGTCTAAGAAATCTCTCCACATATAGCTATGGAATAATCACCTGTATCACTATGGAATAATCACCTGTAAGAAAAAGCTTAAAAAGTCATGTGAAACATAAGATCACCTTTCATATATAAAAACATTACACACAAATTTATGTGCATTTACACTTGTCTATCAACATATGCATTTAACATGTTTTTAACATATGTAAACACCATCACCCCAAGTGCACATATATACAGATAAAAGCAGAAGGAAAAATAAATGTGGTCTATGAGGAACAAGGCAGAGCAAACAAAAGATGGAAGCCACACTTTTTAAATGTAAACTGTTTTGAAATCACATTTTGTATAGTTACAAAATCAAAAAGAAACCCCCGATACTTGAAGTAAAATGATACAGATTAATTTATGCATGTATTAATTTGGGATTTAAAATATAGTAACTAGATAAATCCCTATCAACAAGATTTAACAAATGCATTCCAAATAAGGTATATCCTAAGAACTGTTACAAAGAACTTTAACTCTCCCATTTCTATGACGAAGTCTAAGAAAAAAAAAAAACCGAACACTGAAGTTTACTCTGGCTCACAGTTCGAAGGCACAACTCACAATGGCAAGGAAGGAACAGAGATCCGACCAGAAACGGAGACCAGACAGGAAGCAAGGACGGGCTTGAACCCAATAGGCCCACCCTCGGTGACCCACTTCCTCCTGTGAAGCGCTACCGCCCAGCTCCCCATCCGGGGCGTGTCCAACTTGCCGGATACAGGCACAATACAAAATCATAGTAAACATATTACCGCCCCGCCCCCCAGGCAGTGCCGCTTGCTCGTAATAGCAGCACTGCATAGGCTGAGGAAGAGCTCAAGGTAGCCTGGCCTACTCAAGAACAGGCTTGGCCTCCACCCCACCATAAACTTAATAAAACATTGTACAAGGGTTTTTGTTTGCTTGTTTGTTTTTAAATTCAATTGCCTGGCTCTGGAATGAACTTTGTAAATGTTAAAGTGAGCTGCAATGTCAAAAGGCCAAACAACCTACAATCGAACAAAACTACTCCCAGCTGAGGACCAAACTTCTAAACACACCAGCCTGTACAGGAAAGTTTACATGCAATGTAACATCTTGCTAGTAATAATATCACCTGAACGTAATATAAAATATGTAATAATGTAAAGAGTGACTAGAATTTTCTGCACAAGAAAGCAATACAATTGTAAAAGCCCTAAAGTCCCAAATGTGAATGACTAGAACTTGTCTGTTTTTAAGAGAAAATACATACACACTTCCTGATCATGTTTAGTGAAAAGAGGCCTTAAAAACCAAGACTAATCTAACAGCAGTAGTAAGCCTCTAAGAACACGTGTGCAATGTGCTGGACACATTAATGGAAGCAAAGGAACTACCAGAGAATGCTGAGGAAGGATGTGTCAAAACAACAGGCTAGATGACAAGGAGAGCCACACACTGGGAAAAAACATTTGCAATACAATACACATATTTTATAAAGGTCTGGTATCCAGGACCTAAGAATTACAAATGTGTATTAATTTGTGAAGAAAATACACCACAAAAACAAAGGGCCAAAAAAGTGTGCTGTGTGTGTGTGTGTGAGAGAGAGACAGACAGACAGACAGATAGACAGAGACAGAAAGAAACCAATAGAGCCCCCAACAAAATTAAAAGATATACAACATCCTTAACCCTCGAGAAATCTAAGCACTACATGCCTGCCTGCAGAGCTAAAAATGAAAAGGTTCCACAATGCTGTATGGTGGCATGAAGAGAAGCAGAAACTCACCTACTACTTACTTGGGGATGAAAATCTAACAACTTCTCTGAAAATCTGTTCAGCCGTTTCTATGGAGCTACACTGTGCATATGGCCCAGCAACTTTACAGCTAGGTACTTAGTGGAAGAAAGCACGTCCGTGTGAAGACTTAGACCCTCATTCCTCAGCTCTATTTAAATAATTGAAACTATGTATGATGAAAACCATGTTGCAATTATCCCTGTACTGTTTGTTATGAAATTTCTACCAAGTAATGTGTTTATATCTCTGCTTACCCTCTTGCTCCTCGTCTCCTCTTCTGTCTTAATCACGTTCACTTATCGGATCAATTCACCCCACAGCAACCAGCTTCCTGTTACCTTAGTCCCTCTCCACTCTTTGTACTCTTGCGTTTGCATTGTTTCATCCTTTCTAAAGCCTTCTCACTTGCATGTGCCCACTTGGTTTTTATATAGCTTGTGGCATGTGGGAAAGCAAGGTCACAAGGCTTCCTGGGGATATGGTGGGAACTGTTAAGCTTCTACCTTAAAGCTTTCCACTGCAAGAGTCCTTACTGCAGCTATGGGGCCAATCCCTCCCTTCTAGAACCAGGGTTACTCCTACCTCAGCGAGTCAGAAATGCAAAGATGAGATAGAACAGCATACAAAGGGGGAGGGAGAGGAAGACAGTTAAGGAGAATACTGTAAAACAAAGCAAGTAGTGAAGAGTGCATTCTTGAAGAAAGTTCTCCCAGACACAATGCACTCCATACTTGATTCATGATAGGACAAAATATGGCAACTAAGAGTAGGAAAAGATCTAGTGTAGTATGTGTGTGATGGCAGAATCATGCACCTAGAATAGGCTAGATGTTGGCCAATCATCTTGAACTGTACCTCCACAGTGAAACCTGAGAAAGCAATTGAAATAATAGCCAA